TCTCCCCCCTCTCCATCTCTCGTCCCATCTCTCCTCCCATCTCCCCTCCTCCCTCTCCCCCTTCCCCCCTCACTCACCAAGACGCCTTCAAAAGCCAACAAGTCAACACCACAAGCACAAGCACAAGGACCCATCCCGGGGCGGGAGGGGAATATCAAAACATCCGAAGCCAGCCAAGCCAAGCACAACACAGCGACCACCCACCGCTAAGACATTCCCGTCAGATATCCTATCCTATCCTATCCCATCCCATCCCATCCTATCCTATCCCATCCCATCCCATCCTATCCTATTCTATCCTACGATACTATCAGACACTATGCCATACGATACGATACGATACCCGCATCAGCAGCTTCCATCATAAGCTAGCTGCTGATTTTCAGAGACCGGAGCTGGGTGGGCGGGTAAGTTTACGGCTCGATGATAGACACCGTATGTACGAAGAGGGATCCAGGTCCAGGTCCAGATCCAGATCCAGATCCAGTGCCAGTGCCAGTGCCAGTAGTGGAGAGGATGAGAGAAAAGGTGCTTGATGCAGAGATAGATGGGTAGGTAGGTAGGTAGGTAGATAGACAGATAGACAGGCACGCAAACGAGCAAATGAGCAAACGAGCAAACAAACTTCTGTTGCAGAGCGGAAGGACCACGGTTCACACGTGAAATGAAGTTCATTCGTTGGATTTCTCGCTCGTTATTGGATTGGCATTGCAACCCTCCCCCATCCCCCCAAATGCCCAATTTTCATACAACAGAGCTGAGCAGAGCAGAGCAGAGCAGAGCAAAGCCGAGCATAAAACAGCACAACAACACAGAACAGCCTAGACCAGCCCAATTCCCACCCCCTCCCCTCTCTCTCTCTCTGCTCCAACGCCTTAGAAACCACACGCCCTCTCTCTCTCACTTCGTCTCCTCCTCCCCAGTACCCGGCGGCATGGGATGACGCTCAAACAGCCGATCAACCCTCTCCAGCAGATGCTTCTCTAGCCCGCCGTCCAAGCCTTCTGCCGTGGCCTCCGATTCTTTTCCTTCCTGCCTATTCTTGATCATCGAGCTCAGTTCGTCGAGGAGGTCTACTGTCTCTTCTGGAGAGGCAATCCTTTTAGCTAGGGTTAGCAAAATCAAGCTTCGGTAAGACGGGTGAAGGCTTACCAGGCCGTTGTGCCGACGACCCGGGCTTTGAAATCGTTGCTCCCAGCGCTGAGGAATTGGTCGCCCACTATCATAGCGAGGATTAGCAAATACCACCAACACCGTCGGGACAATCAAATCAGGGATAGGGAGAACGAGCTTCCTCGTGGCTTAATTACCATGCAGTGTCCTCTCTCCCTTGATCGGCTCTCCGCGCCCGAAATACTCCTGGCACACTAGCACGCCCCAGCTCTTGTCGCCTATGTCGACAAAGACATCGTTGCCGCCGTTGAAAGCGCAGAACGGAAGCTGCCGTCCCACCGCGCTCATCTCGAGCTTCTTCTGCACAACCAGCACCGTCTCCTCTAGACTCTCGCGCGGGAACTTCGAACCGGCCACGGAAGGAATGATTCCCACGGCTCTCTCCTTCCTCAGGATCGTCGCTTGCAGAGACAGATTTTGGACACACTCCCGCAGCGACGACTCGGCGACGTCGAGGAGCGTGGTGATGGTCGGCTGCGTCCACGTCGACATGCTCGGCAGGATCCAGGAGCGGCGGGGTAGGTGTTGGAGCAGGAACGGGGAGGAGGCGTTATAGGTGAAGAGGAAGTTGGACTCGCCACCCATGATCATGAGGTTTTGCTTTTGGGGCTCGGTGAGTAGTGGGGAGGCCTTGACGGCTTCGAGGAGGCCGTGAAGACGGCCGTAGTAGCGCTCTGCTTCCGTGTAGCCGGCTGCGGTCACGATACCAATCTTGGTGTTGTTGCTCATGAGGTCTGGGTGAGGTCAGCATGCATTACAATTGACACAATCAACGGGATTACTTGCAGATGATACGCTCGATTACCGGGTTCGATGGCTCCAGACTCTTTCCATCGTCGTACCTATGCACTCATCAGCCTCGAAGTTCTCTCCCTTACTCTTCATCTGCTCCAAATATCGATTCGATGTTACAGACTTACAGCGTAACATCACCATCGAAAGTCGCCAAGTCCAATTGCCCACTCGCCATCAACCCCATGAGCTGAGCCGTGTTCATAATCAACCTGATATCGTTGAAACTCGGCGGCACGAATCGTCTCGATGAGATGAACCGTTTCCTATCTTGATACCGGAATGCATCAGCCAGCGGCAGCCGCGTAAAGAAGGTGCCGATGCTGGGGACAAGGAGCTTGAGCTTGGATTGGCCTTGAAGATTGACCTTTTGGTGTTCGACTTGGTGATGTTAGTCATTGCCATTTGGTTATCCCTATGGAATTGAGGTGGGAGAGTAGATCGAGTTGTCTGAACGCGGAGAACTGGTGCTTCATCCTCCATCCCCCTAGTGTTCTTGCGACATGAACTTACTGTGGTCGTCGATCATATGCTCCACATCCAGCATAATCTCCGCATATCGCCGATGCGCCAGCTCAGCCATCTGCTCGACCGTGTTCTTTCGAGTCTCAAAGACGCCTGTAGGCTGCGAATGCAGAACGAATGGGACGGCGAGGAGGCCTTTGATCCATTCTGATGGGTTTTCAGTATACTGAATATGCTTGAAGAACACGTGACACTTTTAAAGGAATTGGGGTTTTGAAGGACAGAGAGCGAGGAGAGCTCGTGCCATGAAATCAACTCGCTCCCGTAGTCCATTCGGACATCAATCTCCCTCCAGGCCCCCAAATGCAGCATGGTAAGGCACACCGCATCAAAAGGCGTTGAAATGCGTAGAAGCAAGCACCACCAAACATAACATGGCTCTCGATAAAGGTAGGTGAGTAGAAAGAAACATACCAATGAACTGATCCCGCCTATGCGTCTTCAGCGCATCTTTAAGTAGAAGTCAGCACTTGTCCGGGTCCCTCGTCCTCGTCCTCATCCACAATCCCACGGCAGTGGAAAGAGAAATGCACTTACATTCAACCCGATACCTCGTCGTCATATTTGCGATGCTTTCTTCCCTTGTTTCGTATTGATTCTCTTGAATCTTCCTCCTTCCTCCAATTCCCTTCTTCTACCTCTCGAATGCTCCTCACCCAGCTCTGTTCTCTCTGTCTCTCTCTCCCCTTTACCTTTCCCTTCCCTCCCTTTTCTTTCCTTTCCTCAAATCCCTCTCTCCCTTAAGCCTACTTCTCTCCTTCTCTCCTTCTCTCCTCTCTTCCTCCTTCCCAACCCTCAATCCCAACCAACCAGCCAGGCAGCTCCCTAGCGCACCTCTCTATCGAGGCCTCGAAATCCCTCCTAATCTCACTCTCACTCTCACTCTCCCGCTCCCACTCAATCTCACACCTCAGACCCCAAGTCCACCTCTCTTCAGAAATGTCGTATCCTCCCTTTCCCTTCCCCTTTCCCTTCCCCTTTCCCTTTCCGCTCTCCCTGGTGAAAAGGATAATCGATGAGAGCTCAAAAGAGAAAAAAAGAAAGAGAAAGAGAGGGTTCCAAAAAAAGGTCAAGAAAGGGCAGAGTAACCACAGGAAGGTGAGACGGTGACGAGGACAAAGTCGGAAATCCGGACCAGAACCCGTCACGGATGTCGTCTGGTAGACGGATTGTGATTGTGTATTTGTATGTGTATGAGGGAGGTAGGGAGGGAGGAAGGTAGGTTACCTGTACATGCACAGGAGTACCGGTAGGTACCACATTGATACTACTACCGAGCAGGGCAGAGCGGGGGCGGTCACGTGGCAGCCGAAAAGCGCTACTGCACTGCACCGCCCTGCCCTGCCCTGATTCGACAATCGATGCGGAAAGAAAGGCGAGGTCCGAATGTAGGTTGGTAATTTCATTGGTCAGGGCTGCAAAGAAAATGAAAGCAAAGGAGCCACCCATGATCGAGTAAGGAAGGATAGATTGAAAGCTCAGAATTGAAAATTGATTAGAATGATATGTTTGGCCGGTGATTGCACCAAATTCCGACATATATATCATTCGAGGCATCACGTTTGCCATTGCCGATGCCAAGCTAGCACCAAATACCGGTATATCACGCTCTCACATGGGACCACGACCCAAGGAACCTCTTTTTGTTCCCAAGGCTTTCTAGAGGTGCGATTTTCTAACCCTTCTTTCTATCCTGATCCAACCCAGCCAAAGACTCCCATCAAAATCTCGCTAGCAATCTATCAAGACACCACCCTCGCCCTCAGATCAAACCCCGCTTACTATCCTTCGCCTTGAACCCTACCAGTGGCTTCTCCGGCCGCGGAACATCGGGCCGTCCGCTCAGCACATCAACCACATGCTTAAACTCAAGCCAATGCTCGTCTTTCGGCCGCCTATTCGCCCAATCGGTCTCGTTCTCCTCAACCTGCTTCATAGGACTGAGCACAACTTTCGCGCCCTTGATACCAATAACCGTCACCGCCTGAGGGTCCTCCAGGATCTTCTTGTCAGATCTATCTTCGTATGTCTCCAAATGTTCAATGCATTTGATAGCGAGACGAACGGCGCGGGTGCGGTCCATGGGTGAGGGAACGCCGCCTTGTTGCACGTGGCCGGGGATGCTGTCGCGGGATTCGAAGCGGTTGTTTGCTTCTTCTCGGATTACGTCGGCGATGAGCTTGGCGGTGTAGACCTTGGAGGCTTTCTCGTTGACGAGGATGAGTCTACCGGCTCGGGATTGCCCAGAATCTTCGGCGAAGACTTGCTTCAGGTGCTTGATGTCGGCGGCGAGCATGTTGATGTCAATGCCCTCTTCTGGGGTGTAGACGGCTACTGCGCCAACGGCAAGACCGGCGAGAGTAGCAATGTAGCCGGAGCGGCCACCTTGAGTCTCGATGACGAAGACCCGACGGCGGGATGCCGATGCAGACTGCTTGATGGTGTCACAGTAACGAACTAGTTCATTCAGACACGTATCCGAGCCTAGGGAGTATTCGGATCCTGGTACGTTGTTTGAGATGGTGGCTGGAAGAAGTACCATAGGTATACAGAATGGGGAGTAGTCTTTTTGCGCCTTGCGAAGTTGAGAGAGGGCATGGAAGCCTTCAAACCCACCGACTATGAAGAGGCCATCGAAGTCGTACTTTTTAAAGAGACTTGCGAGAAGTTCCAGTCCAGACTCGGATGGAAGCTCACGATTTGTGCCAATCTCTGATCCTCCTTTGCTAGCCCAGTTATCGACTTCGAGCCAGTCAAAATCACGGACTGCTCCCACAGGCTTGTCGTCATGATGGCGAGCGAGGCCTGCAAACCCATTATGAATAGCAACAGGAGTGTGACCCCGGGTGATACAGTATGCTACTGCCGCTCTGGTCGCAGCATTCATACCACCTGCGGGAGCCCCGACGTGAATGATGCCGATCCGCATGTGCTGTGATTCGTTAGTCAGCATATCGATGCCAAATCCTAATAAAAGCTTACCTTCTTTGCAGGAACCTTCATTGTATCATCGAACCCTGTTGCAGTCGTGGTCATATATGACTGGTATACATCTGCAAACTCGGTATCCCGCAAGGACATCGCCTTGTCAAAATCGCGTGCCTCAATAGCCTTGGCAACTTCTTTTGTGTCTACAACAGCCTGGACAAGGGGCTTGCGAGCGATTTTGTTCTCCGTGACGGCAATGAAAGGCGTGGGTGTTTCTGGTGTTGCCTCCAAAACTGCATTGACTGCTTCCACCCCTTGCAGAGTTGAGAGCATACGATCGTAAGCACAAGCAACGCCTCCTCGTTGGACGTGACCAAGAGTTGTGATGCGGGTATCCAAGGCGAGGCCGTTCTTATCAGCAAGAAGATCCTTGATCATCTCCGAATTAATTTTCTTGCCGTCTTGATCGTGAGCACCTTCCGCAACAATAACTATGGTCTTCCGCTTTCCGATTTGACGATGCTATGGCAATTAGTAGAGGTCCAATCCTCCACGGCAGAGACGTACCTTGGCCACAATTCTGCACATCTCCTGCTTCCAGTTTCCGGAGCGTGGCTTCTCTGGGATGAAAACAAAATCGGCGCCAGTTGCGACACCGGCCATGAGCGCCAACCACCCACAATGTCTGCCCATCACCTCGATGACGAATGCTCGAGAGTGTGATGATGCTGTAGCCTCGATGTAGTCGACCATCTCGCATATCCTGCTCAAGGCCGAGTACGCACCAATGGTAGCATCCGTGCCCGACATGTCGTTGTCGATTGAGCCCACAAGGCCAACGATGTTGAGGTGCTTGAACGGCTTGACCTGCGCCTCGGTCAACTCCTTCTTCGCGACCAGCTCCTCTAGCAAGCCAGGCCATTCGGCGCGGAACTTGTCGGCCCCTGTGAGGGAGCCATCACCACCGCAGATTATGAGAGCGTCGATGCCATTCAGGACCATATTCTTGGCGCCCATCAGCCTGCCGGGACGTTCGTAGAAGGCCATGCATCGTGCTGATCCGATTGATGTGCCTCCTTCTGATAGTAAGCCGCGGACATCGGACCAGTTCTTCTTTTCGATCCAGTTCTGCACCAAGCCTTCATATCCTTCCTTGACACAGTATGCCTATACGGACAGATGGATCAGCCGTGCCACCAGAAGTGATGGAGATGCGGGATAGGGCTTACTTCGCAGCCTTTCTCAATGGCAGTCCGGACGACAGCCCTGATGACTCCATTCATTCCAGGCGAGTCACCACCGCTGGTCATCACGGCGATGCGGCGCTTCTTGCCCTCGAGGGGCGAGGGAGTGGGCGCCATATTGTTATGGTCGAGGAAGGAGGAGGAAGGGTTTAGATGTGAGTTGGAGTTGGAGTTGAAGCTGGAGCTGGAGCTGGAGCTAGAGCTAGAGCTAGAGCTGAAGGTAGAGATACCCCGCCAAGATGTTTAGGAAGGGCCGGGCTGGGTCCGAGAGAGCTGAATGAAGAGAGAGAGTAGGAATTCTCAAGGGATGGAGTCGGTTCACACGGCAGCAAGGCGTTGTGAATAAGTACTACTCTACGTACAATGAACGACGGTGAGGGTGACGATGAGGGTGAGGGTGAGGGTGAGGATGTGGTTCCTCTGGTCCTTCCTCTGGGATGCATGTACTGAGTACCGGTAGGATGCGGGCAGAAGCAAAGCTTCAATTCCACTTTTCGGCTTATCGGACGGACATGAGCAGCAGCTTATCGGTGGCAGAGGGGCAGAGGGGCAGCTCGGACGGCTTTCGTCTCGGGCTGTGAATGGCTACTCCACCTACAAAAATAAGGATATATCCGAAGGATCCTTACCTGTCTGTTCCGTATATAGGTACCCCGCCATAAAGAAAAGGATTTTGGAGGGAGGTAATACGGGACTATTTTCTTTCTTCTTTCTTCTCTCTTCTTATGATTACCTACCTTGGGTAAGGTGCAGGATTTAGTAGAGAGGCGCTAGGTAGTACTACTTACGTAGTACTTCTCTCTACCTTACTATTAACTCCTTGGTTGTTCTCGGGTTTCTCGGGATTCTCAGTAGCGATTTACCGGTATCTCTCACCCATCAAAGAAGAAACCCTCCCCCCTGTCTGCTCCTAGGTTTCTACGTAGCGGTATCTAATCAGGTAAATTCATCATCAAAAATCTCATCTAAAACAGTCTCCAGAAGACAACAAAGATATCGACGAAATCATCGTGCGGCCAGCATGTCTGTCCCGACCTAATTATGCGTTGACCTTTCTTGACCGGGAAAAAGATAGCTGCTGCTTAGAGGTGTCGCGCATACCGGTACCTATGAAGGGCGGCCACACGCTCTGAATGGCACCTGAATGGATGGATAGTTAACCGGCTAGGCGTAAATGTGACTAGCGATAATTTCCGGCATGGCGACAAATATGCTGGTCGCACGAGTACCTACCGGTATCCTTAATTCAAATCTCCTTCCGGCCCGGATCTAGGTACCGTACCGGTACTGTAACGTCCATCCCCTTCACCTCTGCTGGTTTTTGGATTCCTAGCCGAAATTCAATGCTAGCGGCTACTTGGCTCACCAACGACACCCTCCTGCAATGATCAAACAACAAAGCTCCAAGAAACTTGAGCATCGCAGACACGTAAATCGACAACAATGACCACCCTCCCGAGCGATTTCCCAATCTCCTTGAGATCATGGCCATCGACGAACGGCAATGATGAGCTCCCCTCAATCATCAGCCGCATCAACACCGAGCGTGGCGGCTTCCGGAATATCACCGAGGAGAGTCTGCGACAAGAGATCATTGAGGAAGAGTTAAACGATGAAAACGATAACCCGAGCTCGAGTGAAGACGAGGAAGAACCAGATCGGGCGAAGGAGTTGAATGCTGCGCGTGAAGCTTTTGTCAAGGATCTCGAGTTTGTGCTTCTTATGGATCCAGCTCCCCTGAAGTCCTACAGTTGCTGACCGGGCTCTAGGCAAGCTTACCAGAGCGCGATGCTCGTACTGGATTTGGTTTCGCTCCTGCTATCAAAAGATATCCCAGTGCAGGCCAGTTTGTCGCTGTCTCAAGGTCTGCAGAGTATGGTTGGGACTCAGACACTCGGGATGGGAAAATTGGCAGCCTCGAGGATCACGGAGGCCCAGAAGCAGGACCACAAGAACGTCGCGAAGGGATGGAAAACCCAGTTTCTGGATAAGGCGGTCGACTCGATTTTGGCTTCGGCTACCAGGTTGGAGAAGGAAATCGAGCGCGAAACGAAATACTGGGAGCAGGTACTGGCCGTGAGCGAGAAAGGATGGGCTGTCTGCCGGTTGCCCAACCAGAAGCACATTCTAGGAGTCCGATTTGGATTTTCCGAATCCTCGCCCGCGTTCAGGAGCCGAAGTCTTGCGGCGCTCACGCGAAAGCCTGATGGATCCATATCTCTGGATCAGGGATTCGCTGATGCCGAACCAAAGAGTCTTCGAGTCCGGATCAAGGTCGATGGCAAAGTTACAGGAATCTCGAGAGTCCCAAAGGCAATTCCCAAAGATACTCCGGTTGAGGCATTGATTCTCCAGTCACGCAATACTATTTTCGCCGAAGAACTCTGGCAAGAGTTGAACCGCGAATCCCGTGCCATGGAGCCTGTAAAGTCGAAAGACAATACTCTGATTTACGAGCTTACAGCCGAGAAGTTTATGGTTCTAGATCTTATACCCCTCGGAGAAGAAAGTACAGAGTATTCTGGCCCGGATGGCCCTCTCGCTCAAAGCCTCTTTTTCGCATTCAACATCCTCCTCAGCTATGCCCACCGACAAGCTCACCGAGCTCGATCCCGCGTTCCCCCTCCGATATCCAGTGAGAGACGCATCACGCCACCCCTGAACCTCTTTCGCCCCTTTATCGCCCGAGCAAAACACCAAGAGCGTACTGCCCAAATGCACGCCCTTTTCCGCTCGCTCCACCATGTCCTTGTCTCAGCCTCCCTCCCCCACCCGCCATCCTACACACTCGTGCCCACGGTCTGGCCCGCTCCACTCAGCCTCCCCATCGCCGAACGCACTATCCTTGCCCTAACCGAGCGCCTCGAGGTGATCGCAACTTTCACCGTGACGCCCACCACAACAATAAAAGTGAAAGCGCAAACGTACTCTCAGCCAACCATATACACACAGTACTTACTGGCCCTCTCGCCCGCGGACTCGCCACTACAAATGACCTGCCCTGTGGTCCCGAGGACAGAGTCCTTCCTCGTGGTACAGGAATACATGTACTATGCCACGTCCTGCGCCCTAGCATCGATTTTCGTGCCCCATCCCTTTGCCACCCCCTCTCCCTCCCAGCCCCAGCCGGGTGAAAGCATTACGCCATTATGGACCCAAACAGCCCACCCGAATATCCTGAAAAAATCCATAACGTCCCCTTCCGCCGCCGCCGCCGCCAAGCAAAAGCAGCTCGCCATCTCCATCCGATCCAGCAGTCCTGTGGGCTCACAGTCCAAGCACACAATCACGATTCTCCGCGTGCAATGGGAGTTTCTGCGCAGCGAATCCTCAGAGGACGAAGATCTCGGCTGGATGGTCACCAGCTGGGCGAATGCTCTTGCCGATGGCGAGGATGTAAGCATGGCGGGGGGGGAGGTGGCAAAGGGTAAGGTCATGAAGAAAGCGATGCCAGGGGAAAACTCGTATTCATGGATCGAGAAGAGCTTCCCGGAGGGGGGAGCTGGGGAGGGTGACGATGAAGACGAGGAGGTTGTGGAGGTTGTTAAGAGCTTGGTGGACGTTGTTAGGGATGCTGGGGAGTGGAGTGAGTGACTTGGTGTATGTAGGGGAAGAGCGAGAACTGAGACGAACTTCGGAAAAGAACATCAGGAGAAGCTGTAATCTCACATGCTCAATATCTATATATTGTCAGTGCGCTGCCTCTAGCCTGCGGGCTTTCTGACTAGTCGTAGCGACGGGGTTTGTTCTGTTTATTCCTATTTTCATGCTTTGTCCTGTTGTGCCTGTGTGTTTCCCGCCTCCTTTAACCTAGTAGCTAGCTAGCAAGCAATCAGGAAGAACTGTGTGATCTTGCTCGTCCAGGGTATCAGCGACGTCAAAAGATCGGAAAACCATATCCCGGATACCTCGACGATTGGGATCTTGCCTCTAGACCCGAGAGTAAGGCAGTTCGGTCCAGAGTCTTGAATTGGCAGACCCCTTCGAGCACCACACCTATTCTGGATCTCGTATACAATAGCAGAATGCCGTCACTGAACATAAATCCCTGGATACCTGTGATCCATACTCACAGCCGAACATCGAAAAGTCGCCTATTTCCACCACTCATTGCCGCCTTTCACACGGGAAGGCGCATGCTAGAATCCCACCCACCAATAGCGGAGCTTCTTCAGCGCCAGACTTCTTCATGTTCTCTAATCGATCTGCGTCTCTACAGTTACCTTTTCCGAAGCTTGGTCATTGGCGATTCATAAGCACGAGAAGTCGGAGGCTTAAGTCCGCACAATAGCTTCTTACCTCCATCAGATAGAGCACACGTCTTGGCATCTGATATAGATGTAAACACACGAGCAAAGTCCTACAGCGATATGGGATTTAAGTAAAACCCGTTTTCGCATAACCTATCAATATCGCCGTTTTACAAATCAATCTGATTCGATGGCGGGCGGGCACGACCCTATCCCTCAGAAGGTTGACCCGAAGGGCACCAACGCAAGGAACATATTAGAACCCAGCACTGGTACAGAGATCCCGGAGAAAGAAGAGCGGACAGATGAATCACTCGATGAATCACTCGAGGAAGGTACTACTTCAAGAAAGAATGAGAGCCTGACAGCAGGTCTCCAAGTGGTTGGAGCGTTCTTCATGATGTTCAACTCCTGGTATGTAGATGCCAACCCCGTCCAATGCCGTATGAATCTAAGGGATAATGGTACCAGGGGAATCGCAAACACGTTCGGAGCGTACCAGAACTACTACGAGAACGCTCTGCTACGAGACGAGACGCCTTCACGGATCTCGTGGATCGGATCCATACAAGGGTTTCTCTTGATCCTGGTTGGAGGGCTGTTCACTGGGCCCATCTTCGATACTGGACATCTCCGTGGACTGGTAGTTGCTGGCACTGTTTTATCCGTGTTTGGTATGATGATGACCAGTATTTGTAGGGAATATGTACGTCGATTGATTCCGCCCTAGAGGCAAAAAACTCCCTGTTTGGAAACACGCATTTCGGCCCCGGGGAGTGTAAGCAAAGACTTGACCTGTGCTGATTTCTCGACAGTGGCAATTCATCCTGGCCCAGGGCCTGGTGGTAGGAGTTGGGTCTGGATGTTTCCTACTGCCAAGTATTGCAGTCTTCCCACAGTATTTCACCGAGAGACGAGCCCTTGCGGCGGGACTCGCAGCAGCAGGTTCTAGCCTAGGCAAGCCGCAGGCTACCTATAAGACTCCAAAGGCTTTTGCTAATAGTAATCAGGTGGTGTTATCCACCCTATTGTATTCCACGAGCTGCAACCACGAATCGGCTTCCGTTGGGCAACTCGGGTCATCGCCTTCATCATGCTGGCAACATTGACAATCCCTCTGGCAGTTATGCGTGCAAAAGTATTCCCTTCCACCCGCAGGCCTCTGTTTGATTTTCAAGTCCTCCGCAACATTCCATACATACTATTCACGATCGGAGAGTTCTTCGGCTTCATGGGGCTGTACGTCCCTTTCTAGTGAGTGAGCAGCGAACCATCTCTCCATCCTCACTTTAAAGTAAAAGCACTTTAAAGTAAAAGGGCATTTCTGACCCTCCCGTCCAGCTACATCACAACCTACAGCACAGAAAAGAAGATCGCTGGCCCGAACCTCAGCTTCTACCTCCTAACCCTCATAAACACCGGCTCCATCCTCGGCCGCATCGTCCCCAACTTCTTCGCAGACCTAACCGGACCCCTGAACATCTGCACGCCCTTCGTCCTCCTCTGCGGCCTCATCGCCTTCTGCTGGCCCTCCATCGCCTCGCTCGGCCAAGCCGTCACCTTCTGCCTCGCCTACGGCTTCTTCTCCGGCACCTTCGTCTCCATCACCGGCCCGTCCATCGCCACCCTGAGCACCGACCTCGGTCTGGTCGGCACGCACATGGGCATGAGCTTCGCCTTCGCGAGCCTGGGCCTGCTGGTCGGCAACCCGGTCGCCGGCGTGCTGCTGCGTGGCCGTGGCTGGCTCGGCCCGGCGATGTTTTGCGGTGCGACGAATCTGCTGGCCGGCCTGTTCATTCTCGGGGCGAGGCTCGCTAAGACGGGGAAGGTGCTCGTCGTCCAGGCTTAACCTGGCATTCGCATGGTTTTTCCTCAAAAAGCTGTGGTGGGTAGCGTGGAAACGCCCTCCCCCTTCCCCCTCTCCGCCGCAAAAAAGGAGGGACCTTGTCCCATGTGAAAGTCGCCCCAGATCGTGACTTTTGACCATCACATCTTTCGGCCTAAGTGTAATTTACAAAGGGGATTTGGAAAATGGACGTGCTTTGATACCATGCGCTGGATGGAGTAAGGTAGTCTAGTCGTCAAGAGACACCGTTGCGAAATTGTGAGAATGGATGGATGAATCCAACTGCCTCTGTTTACTTTTTGGTCTTGGCGAAAGGCCGGCCCTGCTGCTCTCTTTGATGTGGCGACCTAGTCCATGAGTGAGTGAGTGGTCCGGTCAATCAGTTCCTTCACAACGCCTCGCACGTCAGATGGCTTCTATTTGCGAAAAAAAAAAAAGAAGAACAATAGGAAATGAAGGAAATTAAAAAAGAAGAAAAAAGGAAAGGCACTACTGGTCTTGATCTGGAAAAGAGAGAAGGCCACCGCTGTGGGGTTTCAGGTATAGTATGGTAGGGTAGGGAGGGTAAGGTACTACGTAACTTTGAGTAAAGTAAAGGAAAGGAAAGGAAAGGAAAGGAAAGGAAAGGAAAGTGGAGTAGAGTGGATTAAAGTATAGTAGGGTAGGGAGGGTAAGGTACTACTACGTACGTACGACGGAGGAATATACGTAGTACGTAGTACGACGGAGGAATATACCCACGGTACAGGCCTAAGTATTACCCCTCGAGGGTGCCTCAAAAGTCTAGTTTCCACTTTAAACCCCCTGGTTGCCCTACCCTCGGGGGGTAATACTTACGCCTGCGACGTAGGAAAGTCAAGTAGAGTAGTAAAGAACGTACGTAGTACAATCTACAGTAAGTAGTAGTAGTAGTACTACGTAAGTCAAGGAAAGTAAAATAGAGTATATTAAGGCAAGGCAAGGTAAGGCAAGGCAAGGTAAGGTAAAGTAAAGTAAAGTAAAGTAAAGTAAAGTAAAGTAAAGTAAAGTAAAGTAAAGTAAAGTATAATTTAGTACTCTCCCCCCCCATGAATAAATGTCGAAAGTATAATTTCGCAAGGGGATCTTACCAAGGCTTAAACCAATCAACTTATAAGGATTCAGCTTTGGAAAGTATCTTTGAGCCAGTATTTAGTCTATACAGTGGAGTTGACAGGGCTTTGAGCTATTAAGAAACCACCGCTCTATGATTTATGGGCCTAAACTGGGTCCGACATTTATTCATGGGGGGGGAGAGTAAAGTAAAGTAAAGTACCGTAGAGTAAAGTAAAGTAAAGTACCGTACCGTAAAGTAAAGCAAAGGAAAGCAAAGTAAAGTAAAGTACCGTAAAGTAAAGTAAAGTAAAGTAAAGGAAAGTACCACGGCACAGGCCTACGCATGACCCCTCGAGGGTGCCTCCAAAGTTTAGTTTCCACTTTAAAGCCCCTGGGTTACCCTACCCTCGAGGGGTGAGTGACACTTACGCCTGGGACGTCGTAAAGTACCGTAGAGTACCGTAAAGTAAAGTAAAGTAAAGTAAAGTACTGCCACGGTACGGTTTCCACCACCGCACTGGGACATTATAAACCCCCTGGTTACCTCACCCTCAGGGGGGTAGGTAATACGTATTCCGGTAGCAATACTGTACTTCCGACTGGGACGCAGTAAAGTAGTACTACCTAGGTAAAACTAGAGCCAAGTAAAGCAAAGTAAAGCAAAGTAAAGCAAAGTAAAGCAGAACCCATCGCAAGCGCCCCCAAAAAATATATATATATATATGTATGCATGTACCACCTACTACTATATACGTAGTATCTCGATCGATCTAGTCCCAGACCCAGTCCCAGACCCACCCAATTTCCCATTCGCAAAGAAGAAGGAAAGAAGGAAAGAAGGAAAGAAGGAAAGAAGGAAAGAAGGAAAGAAGGAAAGAAGGAAGGAAAGACTATTGGAACGATCGATCATCAGATGCAAGTGCAAGCTGCTAGGATGCGGCATCAGAGACGGATGGACGGACGGACGGAATAGAATAGAATAGATAGATAGACTGCTTTTGCTTACTTGCTTGTTTACTTACTTACTAGTCCCCCCCTCCTCTCTCTCTTCACCCCTCCCCCCCCCCCCCCAACTACCCGCTCTGGCCAGGGATGCCAAAGTCCCACGTCATGCGCGGACACTTCTCGCCGGCGCGGACGAAGACGGTCCAGCTGCGCGCGTCGCGCCACTCGCCCTTGACGTAGCGCTTGTCGTTGCAGTAGTCCTTGAGCTCTTGCAGCGGGCGCGTCAGGTACTGGGCGTGGCCTACTTGTAAGGCGGCTTCGTTCTGGTGGGGAGGAGAAAGGGGGTTGGTTAGTTAGGTGGTTGGGTGGTTGGGTGGTTGGGTGGTTGGGTGGTTGGTTGGTGGGTGGGTGAATCTTCGTCTCTTCCACTCTTTTCTTTTCTCTTGCTCTCTCTTCTTTTTTTCTTGTTGTTTCTTTTTATTTGGGAGGGAGGGGGGGGGGGGTAGAAAGAGAGAGGGGGGAGAGGAGGGGGGGAGGAGAGACAGAGAGAAGAGGGGAGGAGAGAGAGAGAGAGAGAGAGATCGGAAGCTCTTCAATTGACGGCGGCTCACTTACCTTGTTACAAAACCAGACGCCGGTTCCCCCGTAGCAAGCCACGCGGGGACATCCAACACGCGACTGGGGCTCGAAGCTGGTGATGCCCGGCGAGTTGGTGAAGAGGTTGATGAGGGCCTGGACTTCGGTCTCGAAGGCGCCGGGGAACTCCGGGTGCCAGCCTGTGGTGCCGCAATCGATGTGGGCGGGCGCGGGCGGGAACTGAGTGCATGATAGGAGAAAGTGGTCAGCCGCTGTTGTATTGCCATGTTGCCTTGTTGCCTTGCTGTCTCTGCTTGGACAGAGGGCTGGAGAAGGGGTGAGGGTGTGAGCGAGAAACTTGAGACTTACGACTTGCCGAGCAGCAAGAACGCCGGCTGCCCCCACGGCGAGGTCGGAGCGGGTGGCTACTTCTGGCGCGTGTTTTGCGACGGTTGGATCGTAGGCATTAAAGTTCCACTTGAGCAAAAGTTAGCGCTGCGGTTGGTAACTTTATGGGAAACCCAGGACCGTGTCCAAGGCGCGGAGCCAGCAAAATCCCAGAAGATTGGGTGAGAAATGGGTTCTGGAGTCTTATACGTACGTGCAAGTTCGGGCCGCAGTCGTCGCCGCCTCGAAGGAGAACGGTGACTCCATCGGTGTCATCTACTGATCCTCCAAGGGCAGCTGGGGTACCAAGAAAGAGTCAGCAAACGCCAAATCCAGCTATGGGAAGAGGATGTTATCGCTGTCCGCAAGAGACATGCGCCGAAGCAGACGGCCGGAGCGCTCGATACTGACCGCGGTTGCAGGAGTCTCTGATATCCTCAAGGAAGTATCTCAGGCCGTTCGCTCGTCCGACAAACTCCTCTCCATTCTACACACAAGATCAGCAAATCGACGTGCTACCATATCGAGAGTGCTCTAGCGAAGAATCCAGAACTGCTGGACCTACCGATTTGCAGGCCAAGACCTTAGTGCCCTTGTAGCAGACGACCTTCTGGCACGATTGGCGCTTGAGAACCAAGGCATCTCCCACGCTGGCGACGAAGTCGATGATGTATTGGGTTTCGTCGAGGCTGGCCGATTTCCATGGAAGGAAGGGGATGCAGATGGGTGCGTTTCTGGACTCCGCGGAGAGCAGCTGCGATGTTTGGTCAGTTCAATCTCGGGTATGCTTATGCGAAGAAAGGTACGACGGACCTGACCTTGAGCAGAGAGACTCTCCACGACGGCGCTGCGCGCAGCAGGCTGAGTTGAAAGGTCGGCGACTTGAGCTTGAATAGGGTCACCGAAGGCTTGGAGAGCGAAGAGGCTGGCTGCAAGCAGCAGAGTGCCGAGGGTGGTGATGAACTTCATCGTGCGATGAAGATCGAAGTCGAGGTTGGATGAGTTCGGGGTGTATGGTTTTCGAAAAAAAGGGAGATATCGAAAAGGGGTGGGTTTATGTGCTGATTTTGGCCACGCATTCACCAGTTGTGTCCATCTAGTATTGTTAAGCTAAGTCACCCAACACGCGAGAACGTCACGATATCTGCCCATCACTGCAAAGCGTTCACTTGTTTCCTACAAGCCTGAGAAAAGATGACTATTCAGTTTTAAAGCTAGCTGGCTTGGTTCGGTATTCCCTCTCAATACGTGAACAATGAACCTGAATGGAGCTTGATCAACGAGCTAGACAATAACAGTGAAACTTCATCGAGGATCTGCTTGAATAACATGACGCCAAATACACTCTTGAACACGAAACTAGAAACGAGGTAGAAATACAGCTGAACGCAGGGAAAATCAAGATTATGGATATAAAGTAAAAAGAGATCAATATTCGTTTGATTTCAGCACGGTCATGCTATAGCAAGAAGTTCTTAACGAAGGTCAGCTATAGCACTGCCATTATTCTCATACTTTGTGAATACATAAGACAGATAGAGTCTGAAGCAATGATCTTTGTACGAGAGCTTTAAAGAGGCAAATGGAACACAATGAATACACAAGAATTGCATTTATGAGAAGGATATTGAGTATCGCATAGCAAATAAATGGGATAACAGCTGAAGAAATATATTAGTATGAGTGTCGCTCAAGATGCTGGAGCTCAACCGATAATTCTAGAAGTCTAAATGGTAGAAGTTCTGTTAGATCCTCATATCCTTGGAAGGTATCATCATAACTCGCTCTTTCGGCCTTCGTGTACCAAGGCTTGGGGGCTATTTTTCTCGACGGCGAGGCCATCCTTCTCCGAATCATACGGAGAGATGTATGGTCTCACCTTTGCCACCTTCGACATTCTCAACACTTTTCCATCTTTCCCTAACGCTTTGGCCAGGAACCCTTTCCAACCGCTTCCACTCTCAACATGAAATTCCGTTTCGAACCCCATCCTCTCTTCCTCGCCGAGCAATTCCTCTCTACCTTCAGGATCAATACCCCAGAACTGCCATGACTTCGTCTTAGTATCGCCATTCCAGCTCACATAAACCGTCATGCTCTCGCGATTTGCCAGTGAGACGATTGCAGGGTCCTCACTCGGCATTCCTGTCCAGTTGAATCTGAATCCGCGATAGCTCGCCGGTCTTCCGTTCCGGAAAAGCACCCCGCTGTCGAGATATGCATGGAAGACGGTAGTACCACTCGGCGAGAATTCCGTGATTGCGCCTGCTGTCCCCCAATTCACGAAGACGTTGCCGTTGGGCAGCACCTGCGTGTTGCCCATCGCGAACGCAAATTCGCCGTTGGGTGCTGCGAACTTTTGAACTAGGTTTGCTGTCCAGTTCTGGGTGTCCAAGACAAGTTTCTTACCGCTGGATTCGTTCTCCCATTCCCCGTCGCAGGAGCGTTGACCACTGTTGTCGAACAGGCTGATGGTTGCAGTGTCGGCACCCTCAGAACTATAAACGAATCGCGCATCGTGCTGAAGGCCGAATGAAGCTCCAGGTCCAAACGTGAAGTTCGAATACTTGCCGCCCAGGCGCCAGATGATATCTCCCGTAGTTCCGTTGACCTTGTAGATAGTGGACGTGCGGCGAGCGGATATCAAGTAGTTCTTCCCGTCTCCGTCGACCGAGTTGATGTGGAAGAAGTCTATAGCGTCCGTGTTGTTGAGTCCGCTGCCCAGCGACAATGTAGATAGGGGCACAACGCATTCTGCGCTGGGTGAGCTACGTTATTCGATAGCAGGTGGAAAAGTTACCGCTTGGAGACACGTGGTCGAGGCTTCGCCACTCAAAAACGAGGCGTCCAGTCTCTATATCAACCTCTAAACCGAGTCAATGATCATATCGCATAGCTGTTCTGGCCTCGACAAACCTTGGAATACTCCATCCAAAAGCCATTGAGCCTTAGGACTAGTGCTGAATTCTGTCAAATCACACTGCACTGGCGTGTACGATACGAATAGCGCTGTCTTCTCGTTCCTAATCTGGAATTCGTGCTTGTCGGCAATTATGTGATTCATCATGGCAACCTCCTTGACCATCTCATACTTGCGGTCCAGTATCCTCACTCGCCCTTGTCCAAATTGAGTTCGTCTGGACGTTGCATCGAATTCAAATCCAAACAGCACATCTTGTCCATTCAACCGCGCAGCCTGAAAATTGTTCGTGGCAGCTGAGAATGATCCGATTCCCGACCAAACAAGTTCTCCGGTGGTTGTAAAAATGTACGGCCCGGCTTGGACTGGGCCGAAAGGCCCAATGGGTTTGACTCTACGAGACGGACGTGGCGATACGAAGATATAGCCTGGCGATATCTCGGATGGGGTTGACAGCGTGATGTTGAGGGTTGGAGGAGACAAATCTGGTCGTGATTTGAAGGTCCAATCTGCGCTGCCTAACTCTGGAGCCAGCATTGTGACCGTGATAGCTGTGAGCCAATTTCGGAGGCGGAACATTCCGAGCAGCAATATACTCCCCTGTTCAAAGAAGCAAAACAAGTAAGCGAGACATTGATGCAGGTCCTACGCGAATTCTCAAGTTGATCCTGATCTATCACGAATGTGTGACCTGAAAGAAACAAGACAACGAAAAAAAAGATTGATGATCTTGTAGAGATCGCTCCTGAGGCTAGTCCCTGATCAGTACAGCTCCCACGTGAGTCTGAAAAGAAAAGAGGTATTGCTCACACGATTCGCTCCAATAATCATGAATTAAACCTTACCCTCAATTATGGTACCGAATCTTCCAAAACACTCGGGCTGACTAGGCGCAGAATACGAAGAGCCACGTGACACATAATATTCGCACAGACGTGACTTCAACGCGTGATAAACCGAATTGAATTGGGAGTGCAAAAGGATCGTGAGTGCCGGTAGGCTATGTCACCTTATAACGGCATTCCACTTTGATTCCTCTCTCGTTTGCCCATCGTGCAACCGACTCGTTGTCCTCTTGTCCCCAACAGATCAACTTCATAGGCACGCATCAGAAGGAGCTCTGTATCTGTGCCCTTCAGGAGAATGGTTCAGTCGGTCTTACCAGCTCTTTTGCACCCCTACTGCTGGGGCATCTGCAATCTGGGTTAGCTATCTTAAATGCAGCCTGCAGCTAGCCGTGACCTAGTGAGAGCATGCAAGAAGCCGGACGCATGAAAGGTCGTATTCGAATTCTTTTTCCATCCGATCATCGAGGCCCGGGACCGAAAGCTCCTCGATTTCATGTAATATGACGACATTGCCAAATGCTGATATATATATATCGGGGCAAAGCTCCTGCTCTTGTTACGAAACCGAGCATCTTCTTCATTTGTGAGGCTTCTGGTGCACCAGACGGCTTCAAAACTGGCTTCTTGTTCCACAACTCCTCAAGTGGCTGTCTTGAGTGATTTCATCGAAATGGCTCAGCTGCCTGCCTTGTCGGTCCTCGACTCCACGATGTCGGGGATCTTGGATGTGGTATTCAAGGCCAGGTCATCCTCATAATATTGCTGTGTTCTTTGAACAGACTCTTGAGTTGCAGTATGCGTGTGTATTATATTGTGGAAGGGTGCATGGTGAGGAGCTTGGATTGGAATGATGGAAGTCGGAATGCCGATAACAGTCACGTGTTGTGATGACTAATGAGCGTACTGAGATGTTCTCTTGCAGGCACAGTATCAAAACCAAAACATTCGATGGCAACAAAAGCCCGAGGATTCTGTGTTAAGGCTCGTGGATTGACGGCGACCGGCAGTATCAGAACATCTTCCTTCCAATCTGGGCACTCAATTGCTCAAAGAACCTTTTATCGTCAAGAGCCTCACTCAAACTCGAGATACTTCGCCTCAGCTTCCACTGTCCCCCGATCCAGGAGCTCCCGTCCCCTCAAGATGGCCAACGGCGACGAATTTATTTTGACTCTCTCATGCCCTGATATACCAGGCATCGTTCACGCAGTCACTGGCTTCTTGGCCCAACACAACCTGAACATCGTGGACTCGCAGCAGTTCGGAGATCCCACTTCCAAGAAGTTCTTTATGCGAGTCCACTTTTCCCAGATCCAGGCTTCTGAAGGAGATGGAAAGATCAAAGCCGAGATCCTGAGAGAGTCGTTCAAAGAGACGGCAAAAATCATGTCTATGGATTTCGAGTTGTCTTCAACGGCCCAAAAGCCTCGGGTTTTGATCATGGTATCTAAGATCGGTCACTGTCTCAATGACATTCTCTTCCGACAATCTATCTCTCAGCTTGGAATTGAGATACCTCTAATTATCTCAAACCACCCCGACTATGCTCCTCTAGCGGCGACCTATAAGGTCCCCTTCCACCACCTCCCGATCACTGCTGAGACCAAGGCTGAACAAGAGAGTCGTATCCTGGAACTAGTCAAAGAGCACAACATTGACTTGATTGTCCTGGCTCGGTATATGCAGGTTCTCTCGCCTGCACTCTGCACCGCAATGTCTGGCAAAATTATCAACATCCACCATAGTTTCTTGCCTTCATTCAAGGGTGCCAAGCCATACCATCAGGCATACGATCGAGGCGTCAAGATCATCGGAGCCACAGCGCACTTTGTCACAAGTGACCTTGACGAGGGACCCATCATCGAGCAGGATGTTGTTCGTGTTGGCCATGGAATGAGTCCAAAGACCTTGACGACTGAGGGCAGCAACGTGGAAAGCAAAGTTCTGGCCAAGGCCGTGAAGTGGGTTACGGAGAAGAGAGTCTTACTGAATGGTCACAAAACCGTTGTCTTCAATGATCTTTGAGATGCTCAGATGAACAGTAAATCAAATCCGCGTCAAGTATTGCCTACGTTCAACATGTCGTGTCGCGTCTTTCAGATTCTAACGTTGCTAAATCCTCTCATGACTACAATGAACAATAGCTCTGTAAAGATGTTACCCGAGACTAAACAATTGAGTTCCCGTCCATTGAAAAGGCTTCACGACATCGTCCTATCAATCGTCTTTCTCGAACCGTTATATAGCGGGTTATTGAATTTCAGTATAAAATCGGTCGGATCAAATTTAAGAACCTCGCGTTGGGCGATGTGCCGATATTGGGTTGTTTATGCTCTATTCTACGATACCGGTAGGAAGCGGGTGCACAAGGCAAGGAAGAAGAGAGCAAGTTCGGTCTGACACTCAATATCCGATACGGCACAAGCCGAACCAAATCAATAGATCTGGATCTTGTGTGAACTCAGCCACTCATATCCAGTATACGGGACGCTTAATTGTAAAGAATTACAATTAACCATAATGAGGCGGTGCTCCAATAACCACGCCCCCCTCCAAATTTGATTTATGGCAAAATATTATTATCATGAAGTAGATTGCTTAAGACTCGGTCGCTAAACATATGAGGGGATATACTACGTAGAATGAACAATTCGGCCAAGGTATGCCAAGGACAGGGTGCGCACGGATCATTATCAGAAAACTTACTACGTATCTCCTCCTGTACCTTAGAGTCTCTTCTCTCCTTGTACACAATTTAGACCTTTGACAAGACCTAGTTCTGCCATACCGCGACAAAACTGTAGTAGACGTTTTCCGATACTACCAATTGCATATATCCGACGGGAGTTGATACAACATTAACTATGCGCCTATACCGCCCTCGTAGGCGCATGCGACTGAGGATAGCTTCTCCCTTTACCGGCGCACGAATATCTGATGCAAGACAAATTCGCTTACTTCACTATTTACTCTCTGATCCATACTCGCGCTACCAGAAGGCGGATGTTTCTAGACCGGCGAACGAGATTGCAACGCTCTGAGTGGTTGGCTGGGGGTAAATTTGATTCTATATTTGGAATGATCTCCTATATGGGCATATACCACGGTACAGGCCTAAGTATTACCCCTCGAGGGTAGGGAAAACAGGGGGTTTAAAGTGGAAACTAAACTTTTAAGGCACCCTCGAGGGGTAATACTTAGGCCTGCGACGTAGTACGTAGTAATTGTGATTCCTGGCTGCACGAATAGGCTGTCAGCCTCCCACCCGCTTGGGCTGACCATCCGTTTAAATTGCGACTTATCAGCTGGTCCGTAACCCGAGGCAATATCCCGGAGAATATTACTCGCAGGGACCACGTGCATGCCGCGTTCGGAAACAACTCTATCTTTGTTCATAATACGGAGATCCTTGATAGTGTTAATTAATAAGTAAGTACTAGTACGTAGTACTATCCGCCCCCCCTGAAGTAAATGCCGGGCCCTGTTTAGCCCCATAAATCGTAGAGCGGTGGTCTCTTAATGGCTTAAAACCCTGTCAGCTCTTCGTACTGCACAGACTAAATACTACCTACCCGAAGATACTTTTCAAGGCTGAATGGTTACGAAGTCTAAGTTTATTAACGTTGTAGTTCGAGCCCCGGTAAGAGCCCTTGCACATTATACTTTTAGACATTATAAGTACCGGTAGTAGTAGTAGTAATAATTTTACTATAATAAAGCGATCTACCAGAACACAAGTTGATATTACTACCATAATCTCCTGGTCCTATTTATATCCGCGCGCGGTGAATTTCCCCTGTCGCCTTTCATGGACGCGGAATGCCTGAATCAGTCTGATAGTACCTACTACGTACTTGCACAACTAGAATAAATGTCAAGTTTCAATTAAAAATGTAAAGCGGGGGGCGACCCGTTGCTCGGCTTTTGGCAGCTTGGCGTATCACATTGGCTTCTTCTTCTTTAGAACCTTCTCAAAAACCTTCTCAAAACCCTTCTGTGGGTACGCGCCGCTGTCAGATTCTTCGGTGGGATTTCCACTTATTCTGGTCCTTGGGCATTCAATTGGATGGGTTTCGCGGCCGGGTAGCTACAAATATCTTTCTGCTCATTTACTACGTATCTCGGTGTCCCAGCCCACTTTGCTGCACGCAGATACTCCGTAAACGAGTAGCTGGAATAGGTGCTGCTTCCGATTGACCTCCGATCGACAAGCCGAATAATTGGGTTTAAAGTCAAAAGATTACCAATCTCGTGGCCTGCGGTACTGCGTATTTATAAGCAAAGTGTTACTTTGCAGTCATTTAATTACCTGTAACGCCCTTTGCGCTACGGGCCAGTTCGACTACGTACCTAGCCCGTCCCTCTGCTACAGTAAAGTGCCGATTGAGCTTCGGACTAAATCAACCGAGGAAGATAACCGAGCAACAAAATAACCCGGCTGCGACAATCGCCTACTCTCGAACATTTTGGAAGCCAATCGCCCCTGTTAAGGCTCACACGAGTCGATATACGTAGTATCGCTTGGGAGCATCTGTAAAGCGGTAATCTTGCGAGTGAGAGGATCGTACGGCTCGCTTACTTGTGTCTACTTATATCAGCATCCAAATCCGGAGGCTTCGGGATTGCTGTGGCCCGCGCGATTCATACAGTTCTCTTATTTACCACGCGAGAAGTCATCGCACCATTTACCGGACGCACGGAAGCTGCGTCTTATGACCAGGACAAAGCTTGATCCCATGCGCAAGTCGAGAGTTTGACCGTGGCGGGGGGGCCGCCGTCCGTGTATACCACTACTTTTAGAACGTCGGCACCTATTTAGGGTCTTGCAATAGTGTTACGCAGACCGTACATTGGACTTCGCCATGCGCAGTGGTACTATGTATGAATTGATCGGATTATCGACGTAGCGAACGTGGCCGGTGAGGTGCCCCTGAAGAGCCGGGGTCCCCGTTCATAACGGTTCCACCAAGACTCCAAGGTCCCCAGGGCCACCATCGTGAAACCTCCAAACTCTGTTCGCTGCCAGGTCATTCCTTATCTGTTTTGGTATAATTAGTCTAGCACATATGTATACGTTCCCCGCCCTTCATTCCCGTCTGGCTTTTTAGTGATGTCCCGAGCCGATTGCGATTGTCACCGCTTGCTTGCGCCTTGGTCCGTTGCCTTCGAAGTCGCTCGTTCAACCAGCATTTCGCAATGTCCCCGTCGACCAACCGGTCTCCGGAAGTCGAGGGCGTTGCTGGGCTTTTCTTGGGCTTGACGTGGGGAACTGCAGTCTTACGAATCTATGTTCGAGCGGTGATGGCGAAGAATTTTGGCCTGGAGGACTGGCTGGCCATATCCGCTCTGTAAGAGCGCACTTCCAGCGACGGGATGCGAGAAAGTGGCTAACTAATTGGGAAAAAAAGGCTCTTGTTTACCTCAACGGCTGTGTTCGCCCTCCTAGGAATAAATGAATCTATGGGGTTGCCGTATAACGAAGTCATGGCGATAGCTCCGCAGAACTATACCCCTGCAATGATGGTTAGTTAGAACGTCTGATATATGCATATACAGAGAGCTCTGCTAATAGTGTTGACAGTGGTGGTTTGCAGTCGAGCTTTCGTATGTCACGGCGACTTGCGTCCTGAAGTTGAGCATAGGAGTCTTTCTCTTGCGTATTGCTGTCAAGGAGTGGCATCGAATCTGTCTCTACCTGACCATGGGCTTCGTCTTGCTATTCTCTGTTGGATATTTTTTCTTTCTCATCTTCCAGTGCTCGCCGGTAGATTTTTTCTGGCTACAGTTTTCACAGAAGCCGGGCACCTGCATTAACCCTGACATCGTCGGCGCCTTGACTTATACGCACTCGGGACTGAATGCGTCTGCCGATATCATTCTCGCATTCTTGCCAGTACACATTGTATCACAACTGCACATGAACCTGCGGACGAAAATCACCGTGTCCCTCATTCTCTCGTTAGGAATGATGTAAGCTCACCCGACGATACACAAGAGCTTCTACTAACCGTCAGCAGCGCTTGTATAGCAGTCATCGTCCGTATCCCGTACGTCAAGATCCTGGTCGACAACTCCCATGATTTCTTGTATTACTCCACCGATGTGGTTATTTGGTCCGCAATCGAGCCAGGGCTGGCGATCACAGCAGCGAATATGGCGACACTACGACCGCTCTTCAGCGTCTGCCTATCGAGGAGCAAGTTCTGGGGGACGACGAGCAGTCGCTGCAAGACCTCCCGCTACTGGACTCACAAGACAGGATCCGGGTTCTCGAGTCGCATGCGCACCGCTGGTAAAGGCTACACGCGAAGCCGAAGCATGGGCAACGCCGACGCGATAGGACTGGGCGCTCTGGACCCAAATGGTAGCCGGACGCGAGAAACCAAGTGCGGCGCATGCGGAGCAGATTGCGATGCATGTGGGAACCCTAGCACGAAGTCGAATCTCGACACCCGGATCGAAAAGGAAGCCCTCCCTCAAGGCAGTAGCTGGGACATTGAGCGGCAGTCGGGGCCGAATTGCAAGCCCACTGGGGAGTGGCCGCTAGTGTCCAGCGCCAGTGACAGTGACAATTCCAATTCCAATCCCAATCCCAATGCCACAATCGTCAAGACGGTGCGGACGGAGATCTGGAGCTCCTACGAATTCTCAGGACCGCTACCGACACTGCCACCCGAAATGTACGACCAGGTGCTTCCGGGGCCCCCGACCGACGGGAGGCGAGATGTGTGGCCGGATAAGAGGCCCGGCTCCAGCTATGGGCGGAGCTGATCGACCACCTCCTTGCGCAAGCCGACGTTCAGCCAGCCAGCGCCGAGGTTTTGGCTGAGCATAGTGGATTTACGAATTGATGCCTGCACGCGTATGAAACAAAGGGAGCGGGAATGTACACTACAACTAACGCCTTCATGTAAGTATTATATATATTTCAGTGCCGGACTTATACCCTTCGGACTAGGGACGGGACAGGATGCCTGCACAGGCTGGTCTTCCTCTTCTTTTCTTTACCCTAGGAGATTTCGTGTATATAGATGGTTGGCTGGCTTGGGCTTCGTTTTCTGGAGCGGACGAGGGGCAAATGTTTTGGGGGGCGGGGGGGGCGGGGCGGGGGTTTGCCACGGCGTTACTGCGTTCTTCCAATAGAACGGACATGAGATGATGCTGGGTTATAGAAAAAATACTACCCAGGAATGCTAATACTACCACTGTTACTACTACTACTAATCCTGCCTGCCACCTCACTTCCTCTCTCACTTTCGTCAATGTGGGTAAAGTCCAGGATCGAAGCTTTGGTTCATCCCCTTCTTGCGAATCCGGCTTCGGCATTCAAAGCGAGTCCACAGGCCATAGATATCCTACTGCTTGTCGGTCTCGCCTGCTGCCGTAGTCCTGAGTGCAGTTTCATGGCGTCCTTGCTTGCTTGCTTGCTTGCTTGCTTGCTTACATTAACCCAGGTACGCAGCTACGCAGCGGGGTCACCCCCTTCCGAAGAATGTAGGGTATGGGAAGCCCGCTTTACTCAGCGCTAGCTAGGGGGTCTGGGGGTCGGAAATCTTGACACCATAGACAAGCGCTTGATGATATCCATTCCGATGGAGTGCTTCGGTCGTTTTCGATTCATCCATCCCTCCATGTCTCTCTCTCGGGCGAGCGAGATGGGCAAGTTGAATATTATGCTGCTGGAAAATTGGCCGGGGTATTTACGATAGGCGGAACAGATAGATGAGGGAGAAGGTCGGGTATAGCTCTTGATGTATCGACTGGTCTCTGTGTACCTTTAGACTGCGAGTGCAATGGGGAGGAGGAGGAGGAGGAGGAGGAGGAGGGGTTTGTTTACAGCTAAGCGAGAAAGGATCACGACGAGCACGCGATCTTTATCGTATTGTAACTTCTGGCTCGGATGTCATGGTTTACTTATTCCTTCACCTATTATTGATATAGATTGACTATGTGGTTATAAATCCTACGCCGATTATGCATACCATATCCAGATCCGTTATGACGATCGTTGAGCTCCACCCATTCTGTCGATTAGATAAATAGGCCCTGCATTAAACCGATCACATCAGTCGTTCGCAGTCATATCCACGACCAAAAAGATCCCTCATCGTGAACATAAAATTGCTTGAAGCTCTGGAAACATTAGCAGAGTTCTACATGAGAAAGGCGGGGATGGAGAGAGTATGCACTTCAAAGAGATAATATTCTAGCTTACACGGGCAGCTCCCTTTCGCGATCTTACAGTATCCTATAATCTATTCATATCCATGATCTATTCTTGGTGCGTGATATGAGAGCGACTTTTCACCAACACCATTTCGGCACGATGAAAGAAACTGAACCTTTTGTAAACAGCACGTGACTTATGAAGCCTCTCGTTGCGAGCAAGAGGATTTCTCATAGCAGTATCTTGACGACTTGACGAATCCCCTGGCTTAACGAATTGCTATTGCGACTATCAAGCAGCGAATCAATCGAGGATGTTCGTCCAAACACTAGGTTTCGTTTTGCGAGAAACACAAGCCTCGGCACGAAAAAGTGCGCCCCAACGACGTCATCCCTTCAAACGGGCCGTTAGTCTACGATGAAGAAGTTGAGATGTAGCCTTGCCAGTCTCAGTTCTAATAATATATACATATATATATATGTAACCTCCTTTCCAAAAGAGCAATCGCAACTATGAAAACAGCAGTGTTGTTGTTATTCTCCATTCTCCACACGGGCCAAGCAGCTTTCGGCGCCTACAACCTCTACCTGGCCTCCATCTCCATCCGCAACCTTTCCGGCTACGAAGAGACCATCAAGAAAGCAGCCAAGCATTCGAATACCGTCGGAGAGCAGCTGCACAGGACTAGAACTACCCAAGCGAGCGGGACATGCGCAGTACGGACCCCCCTTGCCATACATATCACACTCCACATCGATAAACAGCAATCCGGATCGCGCGCCAACCCCAAACCAGCAGACAAACGAATACATCCATGAAATCAGATATACTGACTCGAGATCTAGATCCTGGCATCGTTGCTCAGCTCCATCTATCTGCTTCTCGTTTCAGAGAATGGGCGGCTGGTGGTGGTAGGCCTGAACGCACTCGCGCTGGCCTCGGCATGGCACCACGTCGGCGCCTTCTGGACGCATAAAGCGCGGATCCCGCTCCCCGGCGTGGGGGACTACAACGCGGCGATGCGGAACACCCAGGAGGTGCGCGCGAATATGGCGTACCTGGTCGCGAGCTGGGTCGCGGTCGGGGCTCTCGCCTTGCTTTTTTGAATTCCTTGATCCAAAGGGAAAAAAAAGAAAGAAAAGGGGAAAGTAGGAATAAAGTACTATTTTACCGTTCCTCCTCCAGCTTTCAGACAGGCGCGCCGTTAAAAGGTTGAGAGGATCGTAGGCGTTCCTAGCAATAGCAATCACGTCCCTCTTTCCTTTTCTTGCTGTACTTTCGGAAAGCGGAGATGCGTTCGCGTTGCTGGGGAGCCAAGGAGCTCTCACCAACATCGTCTGCCTATCTCTTAATAGTAGGAGCAAGGGGTGTGTGCAAAGCAAGCCATCTCTGCCTGGTGTTCCTCCTCCTTCCTCCGTCCGTCATTCTCGGAGACGAGCCGGGCCCGTTTCCCGGCCGGTGTTCCGTGGTCTAGGAGGCCGTGGTCGGAGAAGCCTTAAGATGATTCCTCTGCGTCGGCCATGTTTTCATCCTCTCCCTCTTCCTCTTCCTCATCCTCCTCCTCCTCCTCCTCCTCTACCTCCTCGTCTTCAGCACGCTCGAGCCATTACTGGAGACTGAAAATCGACGGGTCAAGAAGGTTGGAAGGAGGGAGGCAAGGAGTACTCAACTAGAAATTGGATTCAGAGGACTTTCGCTCAACAGAGGGGAATGGATTACTTACTCTGGTAAGTAGCTGGATAATTCCCCCCCCCTCCAATATATATATATATGTATATATATATTCCCTTCCTCCCCTTCCTCCCCTTCCTCTACTACTACCTACCTAAACTTACTACTTAATTAGCGAGAAAGAAAGCCCCCTTCCTCCTTCCCCCACCCCCCTCCCCCCTTGCCCTGACTACCTACTACAAGCTCAAGACTACAAGCTCAACACGACCCGCTCAGAAATCCCCATCCTCGCGAGCCGAGTACCGGTAAGTAGGCAAGTCGTCCGCGTAGAAGAAAGAAGAAAAAAAAGAAAGCCGGGGGAAAGAATTCCAAAGTCTCATGTTCCATTTCTTCCATTTCCCATCTCCGATTCTATTCTCCATTGCTGCTATTTCCCCTTCGCCCGTGTCGTAACCTGCAAGTTCGCGAGCGCGCCGTGGTGTTTCCTTAGGACTAGGGAGCTGGCTACTCGGCTACTCGGCTTGCGGCTCACCAAAGACCGCAAGCGACAATCCAAAAGCCGAGAGCGATCCGCATCCATATCCATATCCCATCTCCAGCCGCCCGCCCCCCCCCCCCCCCCCTTACTAACGATGATAATGATTCGTAAGAAGTATATCTATCTATACTTTAGCTTCTCCCAGCCCAGCCCAGCCCAGCCCAGGGACCCCAAAACCCCTTCAAAGTCTATCCTTCTCAAACCCCTCTTACCCTTCAAAGAAAGACACGACCCTGCTCACTCTCGCTAATCATCCTCCTCCTCCTCGAACTCAGAAACATATCAACCATCAGCTTACTCCCCTTCGCTTGCGCCTCCCCCTCACTAGTACTGAACCTCTCATTCCCGCTCTGACTCACACTCCATGTCTTCCCGTCCCCATTCGGACCCATTAACCCCGTGCCCTCAACGCCATAGATATCCTCTTCCACCTTACCGTCCCCGCTCCCACCGCTCGCACCTGTAGATCTCGCCGTCCCAGGACCCGGTGTTTTGTATCTCGAGTTCGTACTCGTACTCCCAAATTGCCGCTCTACAGCACCCACCAGTCCACTGCCAGGACTACTCTGCGCAGTCGCGGTTCCTGCTGGACGTCCGTGCCTCTTGACCAATTTCGCCGGCGTCTCAAAACTCTTGATACTGCTCCTCGTACTTCTCAGCGTAGACTGCGAGGGGTTGCGTTTATGCAGCAAGTTGCGACCGCTCATACTCGAGAGTTGAATGGCTTCCTTTGGCGCGCTGTAGCTAGCTGTGCCGCCAGTACGAACGGTGTTGACTGTGCTGACGGAGCGGAGGGAGGACTTGGACTGCATATGGCGGATTGGAGAGCGTTGTGAGATGGGAGGTAGTGGAGGTGGGGGAGGGGGAGGGGGTGGCGGAGGTGCACTGAGAATCGTGTTTGTTGGGAGGATGGCTGGTACCGGTTCGACGAGAGAGATGGTCGATCTTTTCTTCAAAATAGGCTTCAGTATGGGAGCAGCTGGTGGTATGTTTGAGCTCTGTTGCTGTACGACGCCCAATGGCTGCTTGACAGCAACAAGTTTCTTTGGAGCGACCGAAGCAAAATCCATCTCGTCGTCGTCATCGTCGTTGATCTGCGCAGCTTCTCGGACGTGTCCTCTGTGGAATGACTTGGGCATGGTCGGGAGCGCATAGTTGACATATGAAGTGTTCGTATTCTCCTTGACTCTTTCGAGCTTAGCAACTTCCGAAGACATCCATCTCTTCCACTCACTAGACCCTGCAGACGAGGTGGCACGATGACCAGCACCACTGGGCATCGTCGGGCGATATGTGGTTCGGTCAAGGATCACAACATCTCCAGGACCCGCTCCGCCGAAAAATTGCATGTCTGGGACATCGTGTTGCAGAACAAGTGAGATGGACCTCTTCGCCGGCACTGGGGTCTGACCGCTAGTAGTTCTCGAGTAGATACTCTCGCTATATGCATCGTCGGGGCCCTGCGCGACATTGATGACGGTCTCTGCGGAGGTAGAGCTCTCTGGTGCAAGGTAGAGCGGATTCAACATTGGAGCCGCAAAGTGGTGGGAAAGAGGTACATTCCCAGACAAGGCAACAGGATTGTAGTCGCTCTCGGTCATAGCACGTCGGAATGGGCTTGCTGTGCGAGGAATGGTGTAGCTACCACCGCCACCGAAGAAAGCCGACCGTGACTCACGAATACCCTTGGGATGCTGGATGACCGGCTCATTCTGCTTGGCGATTTCTTGTGGCGTACGACCAGCGTCGGGGACAGTATGGAAGGATGCTTTAGAGCCTCTCCGGTGAGACAGGCCTGCTGGTGTTGTATTTGGAATATTCTTACTCTGTGGCTGACTGATTGGGACGTTCTCCTTGTTGTTAAAGGTATCTTTCGGCGAGAAAACATCGTCTACATGACGGTGTACTTGAAGATTTTCAGCCGTCACCCACTGCTGGGTGTAAGGTCCAGTATGGTTATAAGCATCATAAAGCTGAGATTGATCCCCTGGACGGATGTCCACGCTTTCACTGTTGCTTGTATTGCGAGAACTTGGAGGAACCTGGCGGATAGTGACTGGCGTCCGGTCGGCTTTCGGATCTCCGCAACGGACTGACATGGAGAAACTCTCAAAGTTGGGCTTCTGTGCAGCCTTCAGCTTGGACGTCGGGCTGTTCTCGTCAATGCGCTTCATCAGTGCCGAGTAAACTCGGGCGCTGTCGACATAACCAGGTCCTGGGGCCTGATCATCACCGGTTCTCTTGCTTGGTCGGTGGACGACGGACGGGTACGCAGAAGGCTGGTTCTTCCTTGTACGACTGAAGGATAATGAAGGAACATGAGATCCCACTTCATTGATGATAGAGAGCCGATGTAGCTGCTCTTTGCTCAAAAGAGACTTCGCGGGTTGACTGGGTATTGTATTGGCCCCACTTGTACTCCAGCTCGTTACTCGAGACTTGTCGTCGCTCTCAACACTCTTGATACTCTTGATGCTGCCAGCATTCGATCGAAGTTGTTGGCTAGAATTGGCGGGATGGATAGTTGGCTGCCTCGATGCCACACGCGAAAGAGATCCTTCATCGGGATGAGGAATGTTGGAGAAGAACTCCTGCTCGTCGCTGGGATGATCGCCGTTGTATTGACGCACATGTGTCTCTCTCGCATCTACTTGCTGATTTGGGACGGTCACAGGCTCATCATCTTTGCTGCTTCTGCCAAAGACCCGCTTAAATTTATTTTTGAGGTTTCGAGATGCTTTACGGGCGACATCCTTCAACCCAGAATCTCTCGCGGCGATTGATTGATTTGCTGAAGCGACAGGGCCTCCATAGCTGTTTGCGCTGCTAGTACGCACGGACTTTCGAAACGGTTTCTCTTGTGCCTGGCTTTTCGATCGAAAGAGAAAGGAAGGCTGCTCTCTGAGCCGTTGCTGCTCGGCGTCACGAAAGAACCGATCCCGGGCGAGCTGGACAGCGTTGTCGTTCCGTTCTGATTGGGTGTGGTCACGCCTCCCTCGCAGAAAACTCATTGACCTGGGAGCTCTAAGAGCAGAGTGCTTTGGCTGGGTGGAAGACGTCTGCGAGTTTCCTGCTCGGGGGTGCGAGCTGTCTCGTCTATCGGGAGTGCCGTTCGTGTAGAAGACATCTGGAACTGCTTTGAGTGGGCTGAACATGGACTTCGATCGCCGGATACGGCGGTAGGAGGAGGGCGTTGACGCAACGTCGTCTTCGCGAGTGTAGTATTCGTCAAAGGCATCCCCAGTGACATACTGCTCAGCTGTTCCACCTCGCATCGAAGCCTTGCCAATGGAGGACGAACGACTGGGAGGCCGATACGCCGCTGGTACCGGAGCATCTGTTGTCATGGCCACCGGTCTGAGCGTTGCGTTACTCAACTTCCTCTGAACAGGATTCTGCGCTGCTCTCGTCCCAAGTGACTGACTTCTCGATATACCTGTAGGTCCAACGAAACGCACACTGTGCTGTCGTCTGATGACCGGCCTCTCAGCATTGTCGGTAGTATTGGCCTCCATAGTATTGGCCTGCTGTGTTGATGGCGGCTGAGGAGGATGACGATCAAGTTGCTTGGATTTGCTGGTGTTGTTTCTCGAGAGACCGCCGCCGCTGTGGCCCACATCAGCGCTCTTCCTCTCCTGGGCTCGGGCGAATGCTAACGTTGCTGCTCTATATGCCTGCTGGCGGGCAAGCTCGGGATCCATGGATTCATGCTTGCTGTGAACTGATGATGTTGATTTGCGCCGATGGAGCCCCTTGGTGCTACTCCGGCGGTACATCGTGGTAATGCAGTGTACGGTCTTCAAGATGAGACTAAGTATTCAAATACTTGGTAGAATGCGATACAAAGAGTGCTCGTGCCGTCGCATCCACGTATTATCCAAAAGCGAGATGAATGTGTGAAGAGAAGAAGAGCAGACGCGCGCCAGAGGAAGAGAAACAATGTATAGACTTGATCATCCGAATGGAAAGTACGAATACCTGTTTGGATTAGGCTGAAGGGGAAGGGGCGACCAGCTCGCTTACCTGGGGTAGTCCCAAACCAGGAAGCCGTAACTCATGGAGACCAGTCACATATATGTGTAGAGCCAATGCAATATAGGATACTCCGATTTGAAGTAGAACGTCTAGTGCATAATACAGCAGAAACCCATGCGGACCTCAAACGCAAGGAAACCGTAAAGAAAATGCGTAGTACAAAAGGTGACCACCATGACGCACCATCTCATGCCCAATCTGAAAAGAAAAAGAGCCGTGTTGGTAGTCTATGTCTCTAGCGCATTCATGCAACTTCATAGATGGCCTTCATATCCCCCAAACGATCTCATCTAAGAGCTCAATTCCTCGACCAAGTTGTGAAGCTCAGCCTCGACCATCTTCTGGATCTTACTAGAGATTCTCGCCGTCTTGGAAATGACAGTCTCTGCGTCCTTCACAACCTCGCCGGAGATGACGTTCAAGTCCTTCTCAATGGCCTCCTCCAGAAGCTCAATGGAAGTTGGGAGCTTAGCGGACTTGGGCTGATCAGCCTTGTAGCTACCAGCCTCGATGATGGAGCTGTAGTTGGAATTTCCACCACCGTTCCAGGCGAGAATGTTCTTGGTGTCAGCTGGAACATCAGACAAAACACCCTCGGTAGCGATGGCCATGAGGTTCTCCTTCATTTTCTTGGGGGTCATTTCATCAACGGCGTACTCGGAGTCGGCAGCTGGTTGGAGAGAAAGGTAGTAGGCCAAAAGACCAGCAATGTGCGGGGAAGCCATTGATGTACCGGAGATGGTGTTGGTGGCGTATGGGCTGCCAATCCAAGTAGAAAGAATGCTCAAACCTGGAGCAAAGATGTCATTGCACTTTCCGTAGTTGGAGAAGTAGGCACGAGAATCATCCAGAGTGGAAGCACCGACAGTAATGGCTTTGTCGGCGGCAGCTGGGGAGTAGTTGCAAGAGTCGGCGTTGTCGTTTCCGGCAGCGACGGCAAAGTGAATTCCAGCGTCAACGGCACCGTTAACAGCGCGGTCAAGAGCAGGAGACTTGCCACCACCCAAAGACATGTTGGCGGCAGAGCCCTTGAAGCCCTTCTTTCCCTCCTTGACCTTCTCGGTGTGAGCGTTGGCAGCCCACTCCACACCCTTTACGACATCGGCCATGGTTCCAGATCCGTTCGAGCGAAGCACTTTGACGGCGTAAACATTGGCCTTCTTGGCAACACCGTACTTCTTGCCAGCAACAGTACCTGAGCAGTGAGTTCCGTGTCCGTTTCCGTCCTCGTCAGCGTCGTTGGCTGGGATGGTCTTTCCCCAGTGGGCGCGACCCTCAAAGTCAACGTGCTCGACACTGGTTCCGGTATCGATAACGTAGACATCGACACCCTCGCCGGCATCAGCAGCATAGAGGTACTTATTGAAATCACTGAACCCCAAGCTCTTTCGGTGTGAGATACGAGCAAGACCCCACGGGGCGTTCTTCTCTGTTTGCTCCGGTTCGTAATCACCTAGAGTGTGCACAACGGAGTCTTTCTCGACGTATTCGACCTGATTGGGACACTGGTCAGGACATGTGTTTCATGAGGAGTGATGACGCGGAGGACAGGGGAGGAGCTATCACGTGTGATACTCCCACTCTTAAGTTGTTCCAGCAACGGCATGACACTCGGCTTATGCCTGGAGCTTGATAGAGCCAAGATAAGGGCAGAAGTGATAGCCATCCAGAATTGAACATTGAGACGGATGCAGGGCAAGTGAGGGCGAGAACACAGGACGGGGTTGTGTACTTACATCTGGATGCCTGCGGACCTGCTCAATGACCGAGTCATCGAAATGGCCGGAGTAGCCCAAGAAGCTCCCGGCGATGTTGTATGTATGTTTGAGGCCCTCAAAGATATCCTCGGCCACGGGGAACTGCGATCGCTTGCGAAGCTCTGTTCGCGCGCTCTCGCTCTCAACGTGGGTCTCCTTGACCCAGCTGCAGTGGTGAGAGGCAGCAGCCTCCGTGACGTGCTTCTTGAAGACAACAATATAGGAGTCGGGGACTTCGACTGAGTTGGAAGATGAGATCAGGGGAGCAACACCCTCGTGGATCGTCTCGGTGCTGAAGGAGGAGGAGGTGGGTGCCGATGAGGCCAGCAGCGGCAACAGTGAGAAGCTGATAAGCCCACGCATGATGAATGGAAGGGAGGGAGAGGGAAGGACGTGGAGAGTCTGCCTGCGGACGAGGGATTTAATAGGTAATAGGGGGACTAAAGAGTTGTTGATGTTGTTGCTGTTGAAGACAGATGGAGATACTGTCTTCTGAAGTTGATGTGGCTGATGGTGGTGGTGTTGCTATGAGGAGAGGAGGAAGGAGGAAGATGGATGGAGGAGACGGAGGAAGAGAGCTGGCTGAAGGGTCGAAGCTCCCCAGCCGGGCCTACCTATATGCGCTCATTCACGGGGGGGCGAAGCTGCAGCGCTAAGCCCAGAACAGTCAGAGGTGGGCGATAAGCAGGGGTAGTGTAGGGTGGGGCATGACTTTCGGTTTTGCGACGACCGACCGACGACCGACGACCGATGAGCGATGACCGACGACGGCCGATAAGTAGAAGTGAGCGAGCGGATGGAAGGAAGATGGTGGGAAGACGATCGGGAAAGAATCCTTCGCATGGGGATAAGGTATGGTATGTTTGTTGTTCTTCAAAGCAGTGACGGTCGTTCTCTCCTCAGGCATATCGCTTAGTCATTAGCCAATAGTCATTGTTGTTGTTTATGTTGCTTATCCTGTTGCTATTGTTTTTGGTTGTTGCTGGGCTCGGATCATCTGACCCGACCGACCACCAGCCGACCTCGTGACTCGACCCCACGAAACGCATAGCTCCGGAGTGTCCACTATAACTATGATCACATGGGCCCTTGGGACCTTGGGACCTTAGCTTCAAACCCAATGGAGGAAAGATAAGACCGATGATCCAGGTAAGGCACACACTCAATCTTTCTGTATGTCAAATGCCAAGACGAGGCTGTCCAAGCTGTGTCTTGGGAAGGGACCTGATCACGAGCGTGGAGCTACGCAGCTCGTCATGGAGCGAGGCCACGAGCCGTTGTCGGTTTTCGGGAAGGCTACCTACCTATAGATAAGGTCGGGGGGCGGGTACCTAGGTACGGTAGTAGTAGTAGGTAAATAATTAGAGCGACAGCTCCATGTAAATATGTATGTAAATGGAGGAATGCATGCATGTTACCTACGCAGTTGTACCGGTACGTGGACTGCCTTTTTTCAAACCGTTCTCAAGTGAGGCTGGCCTTTGCCTTGGCTGAAGCTTGCGGAAGAACCGGTGTCAGTTTAGCGAAGAAGTCATCATGAGGATAATCACACTTCGGGGTCTCCCCGCGCGACTTCTGCTTGCTGACTGTTGATTGCTGACTTATACTTCTAGTGCCTGACTCGATCAGCCGCCTGAGCCGAGTTGAGACTTTCCTGGCAACCAACCCTCCGTCTCGTAAATAACAAACATCTCTCAACAACCAAAACTCACGCGGAGTTGACCATGTGCTTCCATGCTGTACTGTATACCTGTTAATGAGTATACTGATTGATTACATTGCCCTGCACACTACACTATACTCACTATACTGCATCGCATCCACTACAGATCTTATGAATCTGATAAGATTCTGAATAACTGATTGTCCTCTGCTATCTGACCGTACGCGACCGAAACTGTTTCGTGACCCGTCTACCTACGAAGGGAGGTCAAAAGATAATAGGCCCGGACCCTGCACGCTTGGCAGGTAGAAGTTACCGAGGAATAAGAACATCAATGTAAAAAATTCAATAACATCAATTGCATTTCATTAATAAGCCTCCTAAACACCCAGATATCGATCCCGAAGATAAAGCAGCTTGTTTACCTCGAGTAGAAGATGGTACGGATCTTGTGCCGGCAGCGAAAAAGTCGAAAATCAACCTCAAAACCGCGAGAGGTATTCGAAAACGCGGCCTTGTACTCTCGAATGGACTGTACGAGCTTGGTATGCGGCGTGGGAAGCTCTCGAGCAAGATGAAATTCGAGGATGGCTCAAAGAGATGATGGAAAACAATCGACGTGTTTTAGAACACGATGGAAGGAACGATATTCACGGTTACCAGTACTCTATTCGTAGTATTATAGTCGATTATTTATTATGATGTTCTTACTCCTGGGCAACGTTCTACTTGCCAAGCGTGCATTGTCCAGGCCTATTATCTTTTGACCTCCCCTTCTTTTACCTTATACCGGTACCTGTAAATCTGTGCTAAGACGTTGTTGTTGTTGTTGTTGTTGTTGTTGTTGTTGTATTTATAAACCTCGGGCGGGTATCCAAAACGCAATTCTTGGACCCTATGGTCCTCCCATGGGGTACGGCGACGTGCTATGTAGAGGAATTACCGGTATATACAAAGTTGTAAACCCCCTAAAAGCAATTCATAGTGCTGTGCGTCGAGTTTTCTTTCGACAACTGTCGACGACAACTGTCGAATACGTATGGCCCTACGGGCGGCCTCGATCCGTATAATACAAAGATCGTTCTCTTTCGTCGTAGAGCTAAGAAGGCTCGCGTTCGTAGCCCTTAGATAGAGCCGGTGTATTTGCAAAACGCTCTTTCGAAAGCGCAGTACCGTGTTTTCGATCAACTGAATTAAGCCCTTCCTATCCTATTTCTTATACACGTTCCCTTTTTATCGCAAATCCTCTTGGTCTTTTCAATCGGTATACCCGTTAAGTATAGATCGTAGTCGGCGTAATATTCGAGAAGAAGGAGGAGAAAGGTTCAGAATCGCCGGTAAAAAAAGATCTCTTCGAAGAGACGTCGCATATTGATAATTTAATTTCGGCTTTCTAGACTCTTTATCTCTCTTTCTAACGCAAAAGAAAGAAAGAGAAAGAGCTGAAGGTTTTAAGGGGCACCTCGTACAGGTGAAGAATCGTAGCCCCCCGATCTACTCAGTGTGCAATTAAGGAGGCAGATTGCAATGTTATAAATAGTTAGTCAAGCGTAATTCGGATTTTTTAATCAGTAGTCAGATGATCTTCTCAAAATCCTCCGCCCCATTTTCCGGGATCTCGGGGTTAAGCGACAGATAAACATATGGGCCGTGGCACAGCCTTTTTCAAGGGCTAGAGGCGGCTAGAAGTAATTAACGCGGATAATTTTAAGATAGGATAATCTTCGATGTTGTTATGTTTTTGTATTTATTCACGTCGGGCGGCTATCCAAAACGAAGTGCTTAAATCCTAAGATGTTTTATAGATTGAGTACGGCGACGTATTAAGTACCGGTAGAAGAACTAATAGTCAGTGCGCTGACTTTGTGACCTGCGGGCTCTCGGTCACAGTCAGGACAAGCAAGTGTCCCAGGTTAAGCAAGTGTCCCACTTCAAATTGCTATTCCATAGTAAATCGCATACAATTCCACCACACTTGCGACAGCCATTTTTCCCTCAACATTTCTCTAACCATGCCTCCGCAAACTTCAAAAGCTCTTGTAGCTCTCAATTATTACGGCCGCTATGCTACTAAAAAAGAATACGACCGCGCCTTTCAAGAAGCGCGCGATTGGGCCTTAGAAGATATGGAAACCGATAATGAAGGAGTAAAACGACCGAAAAGCGAATGTGCTGCCACGTCAGCACGTATATTCGGAGTCAAAGAACCTGCCTTACGAAAAGCTGTATACCGAGCTAAAAAGAAAAAGCGCAATCCTATCACAGGTCAATTCAATCGATGGAGAGGAAATAATCAGATTTTGTTGCAAGAGCAAGAAGAAGCGATCCGACAATATTGCTACGAGCAATAGGAGCTTGGTTTGGGAGCAACTCTTCTAATGGTACGCGCTGGAATCAATCACTTGAGAGCAGTAAGTGTTATTATTTTATTTTATTTATAATTATCAAATCGCTTTTAACGTCGTATAGAAACAATAGCCTTCTCTTTCTCTTGTATCACAATCTTGGTTCAAAGATTGGCTCCGCCGAAACCCCGATCTTTATACAATCAAGACCAAACCAATCGAGCGCGTTAGACTCGAATCGCATACCGAGGAGGAGATAAAGAAATGGTTCGAAGAATTGCAAAAGGATATGGTTCTCTACAATATCAACATTCCGAAAAAGCTTTTGAATATGGACGAGTCGAGAGCGCGTATTGGATGTCCGCCGAGAGAGACTGTGATCGTTCTAAAAGAAGTCAAAGAAATGTATACAAGCTCTCCAAACAATCGCAAATCGATTATAATCATTGAAATTATTCGAGCAGACGGCAAAAAGACTCTTCCGCTATATATCATTACACCGAGCAAGAAGATTATAGAGAATTGGATTACGGATGAGCTTACAAGTGACGAAACGATTGATTGCTCTCTTACAGGATATATTAATTACTAGATTATCTTAAACTACGCCGATCACCTTATCAAATGGACACACGCTGGGCCAAATAAACCATAGAAAATGCTGCTTTTAGATAGCTATGAGTCTCATCGATTAGATGAATTTGTATTGAAGCTTAAAGAAGCGCATATTCATTGCTTTTGGTTTCCTAGTCACCTTACACACGCGCTTCAACCTCTTGACGTTGGAGTATTTCGTCTTTAGAAGCATTATCACGCTCTTGCTGTTTAAAATGCTGTTCGAAGTTTGGACTTCGAATATACTATCACTTCGTTCTTCCGCGATCTTACGAACATCCGCCAACAAGCTATGCAACACTATACGATTGTAAACGCTTTCAAAACCTCGGGAATGTGGCCTTGCAATGTCAACGCTGGTCTTAAAAAGATTCGCTCTTATAATAAAAGAAAGAGATCAATACTCAACGAAGAAAACGATGAAGATAATCTCGAGCTTCCCGCGCTTCGTCTTTCTCGACCTGAAGATTTATAGACTACAACTGCAAAGATCAATTTATTACGCACTCAAGATCCGACACAGTTTTCCGATGATACGAAAGAACTCTTTAAAATTACGATGAAGCAAGCTTCTATCGAGCTTCAAAAAGCACATTTTACTTCGATGGAACATATCAATCTTCAAGAAAAGATTAAAGAAGATAGGAAACGCAAGAGAACATCGCGAAAGAGTATTTATAAAGGAGGTTCTTCTGTTGCAACTGGCGATTTGAAAGAACGAATTCAAATTCGTACGGAAGCAGAAAGGGTAGCGGCGTTACGAAAAGCTGAGAAAACACTTCAAGCAGCTATCAACAAGCACAATAAGCTCTTGAAAGAGCAAGGTATAGCTGCTCGAAGAGCTAACAGAGCTAAAAGAGACCGAGTTCAGCTTGCAATTGCAAGAAATAGCTTGCCTGCACCCGAAGATTTAATCTTAGATCGAGAGCCTGATAAAGCACTTACTACGATCGAAGACGCTCGCTCAACGCGCGAAGGTCACCTTGAACTATTCCATATAGTTCTTCAATTGGAAGCTGAATTAAAAGGAGAAACGAAGAGCCATATCGATTTTCTTGAGCTTGATCTTTTAATTAAGACTAATAATTCACGAGTAGAACAGCTAAATCACGACGAATTCCGCGAATCGAGTCCAATTGAAGGTATTCTACAAGAAAGTTCGGATGTAGAATCAAATGCTAGGTCAATTGATTTTATTTAAAAAAATGCCGACTTTTCTTATGTAATATAATTGTCAAAATTCGTTGCGTTGTGCATTTTTTTTGTATATAGAATGCTAGTATTTTCGATGTTCTGACCATTTGAAGTGGGACACTTGCTTGACCTGGGACACTTGCTTGTCCTGACTGTGACCGAGAGCCCGCAGGTCACAAAGTCAGCGCACTGACTATTATATATAAAGTACTAATTAATCAAAAAGTAAAAACCACGTTAGGGAAACGCTTTCTCTCAAATAGCAAACACCTTAGAGATCCTTTAGAAGCAATTTATAGAAATACGCGCCGAGTTTTCTCTCTCGTCAACTATCGAATACGTATGGCGTTACGGGCGGCCTCCATCCGTATGAATACAAACATCGCTTTCTTTTGTCGTAGACCTGTAGGCTCGCGTTCGTAGCCTTTACATAAAGCCGGTATGTTTGCAAAACGCTCTTTCGAAAGCGCAATACCGTGTTTTCGATCAGTCGAACTTAGCCTTTCCTATCTTATCTCTTATAATCGTTCCTTCTTTATCGCAAATTCTCTTAATCTTTTCAGTCGATATGCCCGTCAGATAAAAATCGCAGTCGGCGTAGTATTCGAAAGGAAGGAGGAGGGAAGTTCGGAACCGCCGGTAAAGGTAGATCTCCTCGAGGAGACGTCGTACATGGATAATTCAATTTCGGCTTTCTAGACTCTTTGCCGCAAGAGAAAGCCGAAGATTCGTAAAATGCACATCGTATAGGTAAAGAATCGTAGCCTCGCAGGATGATCTTCGATATGAAATTATTAGTCGCACGACTATTTATAGTTGACGTAGGAAGATTTATGAAGACGTGAGAATTTCAAATACGGTGATCAGTATTAGTGAAATGAGATTAGTCAAAGAGATAAATTATTAGAAAAGAGACATAAATCCCTTCTTGCACCCACTTCAAATTAAATTCATCACTCTCTTTACCTTCTTCTTCATTTGCAGGCTTATTTCTTTTCGCCAGCTCGCATTATCGTTCGAAAGACTCATAAATCTTTAACACTATTTCCGTATCTCCAAAATGATCCTATTATCGCAGTCTATTAGCTCGATCTTGCTAGCCTCAAGCTTTCTCTTCACTAGAGCTTGCGGAGAAAGAGAAAGAGAAATTATCGGTTATCGAACCCTTTCCTCAGTAAGATTCACTTGGTTTATATAATATAAGCAAATATTAATCACGCGAGTCATAAAAGGAAGCCGATAATAGCAATGATTATGAAAGGCGTTATAGAAATGCAGAATATGATGAGGAAGCTACAACTGCTCAAATAGGAGCTGGGTTTTATACGTGTAAGTGGATCTATTTCTATCGATCATTACTTATTACGCGGAGTTAATAATCTAAATAGTCAACGAACCTGCTGGCTGGCAGGCGAGAGGGAACGAATGGTATTGTGTCCTCGAAGCGGATAGTGAATTGCTTAAAAAGATAAGCAAAGTATGGATCCCAAAATCCTACACGAAAAGCACCGGGGATGGTGAGACACAATTATGGCACCGAGACGAAGAAACTCTCTTGGAATATATCCAGTCAATAGTGCCAGAGTCAGACCCGAAGAAGGCATTACGCTTTTCAGCAATTCCATCTGTCCCTGGGAAGGTGCAAATGCTCATTCCAAGTGAGACGATCGAAGATGAGTTAGAAATATGGTCTCAATGCTTCGAAACAGAGAAGGAGCTAAGAAGTAATGTGAACGTAACCGTTGATTGGATGAGTTGGGGTATTGCTGGACCGAGACCGAGCGGTGTCTCTACGAAGGCAAAGGGAGGGAGCTGGTATCGGCGCTGGTTAGATTGGTGGCATTCGTGGCGTTCGTCGGGTTCGTGGCGTTCGTGGCGTTCGTGGCGTTCGTGGTTTTCGTGGCGCCCGTGTTGTCGAACGGAATCGCCCCCGAGGGAGCATCCGCTTCGGTGAAGATGGACCATCATCAGCACCAGCACCAGCACCGCTGTAAGAAATTCCGTAGTGGTTGAGAAGGAAGTAGCTTGAAGGAAGAAAGGAAGAAAGGAAGAGAGGAAGAGAGGAAGAGAGGAAGAGACGAAGAGAGGAAGAGAGGAGTACGACGCATAGAGAGAGCGAGCGATAAATCTAGATAATGCGAATAGATTATTAATGATCACATTTCATTCAGCCTCACCCGCTCGCTCACTGCCTTATTCACCTCGACAACCCCGTAAAGTAATCGAGGACCAAACCAGGGCAATGCGCTCAACTTGAATTCGGATACTGACTGTCACATTCACCCATCTCTGTCACAGATCCGTTTCACCCCTCCACTATCCCAACTCCCGCTCCTTCGATTCCATCATCTACAGACATTCAATGCCAGCCCGATTCGAGTGCCTGGAACATCCACGGGCGTGAAGGAGGCAAATGAAGAACCTTGGGAGATCTTGAATAAGCTGGACATCGGGGTACGGACAGAGAATGTCTTCCGGGTCACGTCGAGCGCGCTCTTCCACCACGGCGTCCACCCCACCAGAGAGCACCAAAGCCACCGCAGAGATACAGCTCCTCCTCGACAATGTCTCGCTGACCCTCCGAACCCGTGCAGACAACGGATACCCAGACCTAGGTACGCTTACAAGCCAGGCCCAGTCCATACGCCATTATCTCATTGCCTCCCCCGAGCCCGGCAGAGCCAGTGATGACTTCCGACACCTCCATGGCTTCCAGATCCTCCTGGACAGCCTGCGCGCATTCTCTGGCTTCTACCACCCGACCAGGAGAAGCCAGCAGGACCGGACCCAGCTGTTCGGGCTTCTGGAGTGTATACTAGGAATATTGGCACAAACCTTCCGAGAACACTACGGCAACCAGAGATACTTCCAGAGGAGAGTGGAAGGAGGCGGCTGGGCAGCCCTGGAGCAAGCAATTGCCAGCATTGGGTCAGGAGGAAGCGAATCTGATGCCTGGAGCGAAGCACAGCTGTTCGGCTGCCTGCTGTCCTTTGCATTAGATGACAAGAGACTGGAAACCCTGTGTCAGAAGGTCATTGAGCTGTACCCCTCCGGAGGAGCAAACAAGTCAACACCCATGGATGCGCCAGATGCCAGCGAAAAAGATGAAACGGTTCTGGAATATGTGAACAACAGACTCAACGAGATAATCAAAGAGCGTGCATTGCTGTATAATCCGGACATTGTACCAACAATCATCGATTTCTGGGCAGCAGTTCCACGGCAGCCAGGCGCAGCCGTAAACCCAGTTGTATTGGTGGTTATACAGGCACTGAAGAAGCTGGGCTCGGTTTCTAGTCACAACACTATGGCTCTGCATGGAACAGGTATACTGTCAACCCTTCTGCCTCTGGCTTTTGACTCGGATACTCCTTTGGGAGCTACAGAGAGAAACGCGGTGGAGGCGCTGTGCGGATCGTTAGTATCTTTGGGTGTCAATGCCTTGAGCGATGCTCAGTACCTGCTCTGTAATAAGTCACCGAGGGCTGCTGACTTTCTACTTGAACGTATGAGAGAATCACATGGGCCGTCCTTCATACAATTCGACCTCTCTTTACATGGGTTTGCTTCCATAGAACTTCCAACGCTAGGACGAGCATTCCCTCCACCTTCAACATCGGCGGGATACACGTTCACAGCCTGGATTTGTATCGATCAATTTGATTCCAAGTCTTTCACCACCATATTCGGCGCCTTTGATGTTTCGCAAACCTGCTTCCTTCTTGCTTATTTTGACGAGGCGCACAATTTTATTCTGCAGACCTCGGTGGTAGGCTCGAGACCCAGCGTCAGATTCAAGTCTACTGTTTTCAAGGAGGGCCAATGGTATCACATCACCATCGTCCACCGCCGGTCGAGAACCCTCACAGCAAGCAAGGCTTCGCTCTACGTTGACGGAGAATTCGCAGAGGAAGTCAAGTGCCAGTACCCTGCGCCTCCTCCATCGAACGCCAGTACCGAGAGCTTCACCTCCTTCACATCATCACCCAGCAAACCGAATCCGGTCCAGGCTTTCCTAGGTACGCCCAGAGACTTGAGCTCCAAGCTTGGGCCGGGAGTAGTTTTCTCTCGGTGGTCGCTGGCTTCGTTCCACCTCTTCGAGGGTACACTCAGCGACGACCTGATCGCGGTGTATCATCGACTTGGTCCGCGATACAATGGGAACTTCCAGGATTGTCTCGGCTCCTTCCAGACATACGAAGCTTCTGCCGCATTAGGAATGCGCAATGACCTCATCCATCCAGGGAAAGATGACCACTCCGAGATCCTCGATGCGATCCGAGACAAGGCCAGCCTCCTCGTCCCGGAAAGCCGTATCATACTCAGCATTCTCCCGACTGCAGTACTCCGCGATGATGACCGACACAAGTCTTATGAATCGCAGCTTCTTCGTGGCTTGAATCGAGCAGCCTCGGGGAATCTGTTCCAGATGACTCACAATAACGGAACGTCGATAGCCATCAACGGAGCGGTTCCTGCGATCAATGAAGCGCTGGTGCGTGCACATGGCACTGCAGTTCTGACCGGCGACCCTGTCGTGATCGTTCCGCAATCTCTGGACGACGCCATATGGCGACTAGGAGGCTTTACGGGCATAGTCCTGAAGATGGTTGAAAACGCCACCACCAGGGAAGAGATCGTGCGTGCAGTTGAAACTTTATTCGAGAGTATCAAAGGCAGTTGGCGCAACAGCGAGGCAATGGAGCGAGAAAATGGCTATGCTATCCTCGGTGCTCTCATCCGCGGTAAAGTCGGAGCCGGCGTGGTAGTCTCTTCAAAATATCATCCCGAGCCAGCACTGATGGACAGCGACGAACGAGACAAGCTTGGCTTTCAGCTTCTCAGTCTTGTCCTGAACTTTGTTGGGTACATTCATGAGAAGCCGGAAGAGTCTTTCATCATCAACCCTCTGGCGTACCGGGTACTCCTGGTCGATTACGATATGTGGCGCAAGTCTGCCCCCATCACTCAGAGGCTGTACTACAAGCAGTTTGTTGTCTTTGGTGTCAACAGCAAATTCCATCAATTCAATTCCCGACGGTTATTTCGAATGAGTAAGCGCCGTTCTTTTTCTCCTCAATGACATTCACTGACAGGGATAGGGATTGTCAAGAGATTCTTAGATGCACTCAAAGCCGAGACTTTCCAGCAGGAGGTCTTTCCAGCATTTATGGAGGCGCTCAGAAGTCTCGTCATTTGCAATCTCACTGCGGAGATCTTCCGGTTTCTCGCTCTCTTCATCACATATGCCTACCACAAGCCAACAAGTACAGCCTCTCGAACTCCAAAGAGCTCTGCAGGAACTCTTCCTTCTCGCGCGGTATCGAAGTCAGTGGGCCTGCCGAGACCTTCCATTACCACAATCTTAGGTGGGAATGAGATTGTCTCGAACACTACCATGACCAAGCGTCAGATTGGGAACAAGATCCTCGAGATGTATTCCGACCTGCTCTGCGAGAAGGGAAACACGTCAAACATCAAGAAATTCGCCAAAACGGTTACTAACAAGGTACGGCCGTCGCCTTCGAACTTCATGCCATTTGCTGACAGTCCTCAGTGGCTCCTCCATCTCCTGACCGAGGATGATCCGGAAGTTGTGGTACATGGAACCAAGATCCTGGCTCGTCTCCTTGTCGTTCACGGGTCTCACTACGTGGCCAAGTTTGCGAGCAAGACCGGTGGATTTGCGATCATGCGCTACAGACTCAAGAGATGGTGGGATCTGCCAACTCTATGGCCGATATTGTTCTGCATCCTGTTTGGTCACGATGTTGCAGATGTCGACTTGGAGAGATCCTTCGAGCTATTCAGTCTCTTGGAGCCGTTCAACAGCTGCAAGGTTGTGTATCATGCTGTTCTGCCAGTGATCATGGCTATGCTGCAGCATGGATTGAAGGATGTTCTCCGCAACCAAGATGATCCGGATTCGCCCCTAATGGATAGGGGTAACGGACAAGATCAACCGAAGCCATCGGGCTTGAGTGTCCCCGCAGGTGCGAATCGTCGGAGGTCAATGTCCTTGACGAAGGAGCTTGAAGCACGACGTAAACATGATCTTCCCCGAATCAAGCTATACACCAGCTAACAAGGAGTATTAGAAACCCACCAGCACAAGAAAGAGCGCCTCGGCGGCCAGGCAATTGTTTTACACACTGTCATTCGTTTTTTTGCAGACTTGCATTCTAAATCTTCAGATTTCAGGGATTTTGCAATCTCTTCCGACTACATCCGACATCTACTTGCCCTTCTCTTTCCCGTAATTGTGAGCACCGATGCCGTTAGCCCAGAAACGGAGCTAAACTCCCGCGATTCGGCGTTGACATTTGACGGCGACGACGTGATAATCAGGCCCATCTCGCGTGTATCAACAAATTCTGCATCTGTCGTCAAAACCACGACCGTGGAGACAATGCTCCCCCCAAGCCCGACGTCCCCTAGAACAAGGCAATCACGCCGCGGCTCGTCCTTTATCCTGCTGATTTCCCGACCATCCGAGTTTAGCCCGTCCTCGGCGCGACTGAATGTCATCATGTCGCCCAAGAAGAAAGTTACAACGCAAAATACCAGCAACTCTCTCGTAGAAGAGTTGCTCGAACTTATCGTCAACGTCTTCATCGATCAAGTCATGGTCCGGAAGGAGTTTCCTGGTTTCGGCCTTTTTGTCAAGATCCCTCCTGGGTTCCAGGAGCACCAGGCATACTTCGAGACTTACTTGCTTCGCAACACGATATCGCAACTGAATAATAGTATCCAACTCGACCAAAAATCGTTGCGAGAACCCAAGCTTATTCAGAATATGGCCCGCCTTGTTGCCCATATTGGGGAAGCGGTCTTTGAGGGATGGTTCCTGAGCGGAGCAGAGCCTTTGTTGGACTTCGCTGGTACGCAGTTAGAATACCTGCAACGGCCTGAAATCTGGAAATCCAAGAGCGTGCGACTATGCAGCCAAGCTATCATGTCCATTAAGCATGTCTTTTTGCGGGTAGTTCTTTTGCGACTGTCAGAACTGGATAGCGCCCAGGTTCCCGAGAATGAAGCAGTGGCTTTCATGGATAAGCTGCTGTATTGGCAGGCGGTGCTCCTCTCATCCGATGTCAACGAGGAGAACTTTTTGAAATTGATATGCTATCAATTATACCTGAAGCTGGTCGATTCAAGAGAGCGTATCCGCCTCGCCGCAGCCAATCTCTGGCGCATAATCTTGGTCCAGAAGCCTGAGGAGACAACAATGATGTTCCACCAGGCGATGACCAGCGAACACCGAAGTCTGTCATCTGGGTTCAAGAAACTGATGGAGCAAGATAACGAGACATTTTTCGCCTGGGTCGATGAGCAGCGAGCAGAACTGGACTCTTTGTTCCTGGGAGCCATGTCGAAGACCTGGGAGGACTTTGTCAACGCCGAAAACGAGAAGACTGAAGAGGCGACGAAAAGCCGCGCTGCTAAGCGTCGAGGTCAGCTCAAGCAATGGCATCAAGAAAAAGTCAATGACGAGGATATTCTCTTCAGACATGATCTCGCGGCCACGCTTTGGATGAAGAACATCTACGCTTCGGAGCACCTGAAGCACCAACGAGCGCAGCAGGATCAGCAAGATAATTTCTCGTTCCTGGCAGCCACTTTCTCGAAAATGGATCACGAATTGCATCGACCGTGTGCCGTGTTTGAACATAAGTCGCCCACAAAGTGGAAGTTAGACCGAACGGAAGGTCGCAATCGGATGCGCCTACGAATGCTTCCGGATAGAGAAGCTCCAGCTTATGATTACCAACCCAAACGCAGAACCACTGATGCCACTAACAAGCTCAGAATTGATCCCAAACCTGATATCAGAGTCGATTCTGGGTCCAGCAATGCAACACCCGTGTCAGCAACGGCAAGCACGAATCCAAATGAAGCAAGTCTTGATGGACCAAGCGACGTTTCAAGCGATACTTTGGTGAACATGCAGCAGGAAGCAGCAACTGGCTCACAAGAAAGCGTGATGCCTGAGGAGGACTTTGAGCTTGTTGACGACCCGAATGATCCAGGCGAAGATGACACTTACGAGGATAAAAATCGGAAAGTCATGCGCAGTCTTCAATCAGGTGATCAAGTCCAACAAGTCTTTAACATATCCCGGATCATTGGACTCGAGGCTTGCGAAGGCTTGTTGATCATAGGTAAGAATTCCCTGTATCTCATCGACAACGTCTTCCAGAGATCCGACGGAGAAATTGTCAACGTCTCGCAAGCGCCGAAGGAGGAGCGAGATCCATATCTGCAGATGATTGCAGGCCAAAAGACGACCGACAAACGAGCCCAGCCTGTCAAGTTAGACCAGGCTGTCCGTTCGGAGCAGGAAGCCCGGAGCTGGAAATGGAGTGACGTGATCAGTATCTCCAAGCGTCGCTTCTTGTTCCGAGATGTGGCTGTGGAAGTCTTCTTCACTGATGGCCGCAGCTACCTGCTCACTGCCATCTCACCGCCATTGAGAGACGACCTCCACAATAAGCTTGCATCAAAGGCTCCACATACGACCGGCAGCTCTTCCTTACCAAACCCCGAGGATGGTTGGCGACTAGAGGCCTTGAAAGTCGCTGAAGAGTCCCCGGCTACCTTTGGCTCAAAGTTCGGAAGCATTTTCAACTCGTCAGCGTGGAACCCTGCTATGCGAAGATGGGCCAAGGGCGAGATCTCGAATTTCCATTATTTGATGCTGGTCAACACGATGGCTGGACGTACCTTCAACGATCTTACTCAGTACCCCGTCTTTCCTTGGGTTCTAGCTGATTACACTAGCGAGGAACTGGATCTCGATAATCCTGCCACTTTCCGAGATCTTACGAAGCCTATGGGGGCTCAGCACAATTCTCGTGCAGCTGAGTATACTGAGCGCTACAAGACCTTTGCCGAAATGGGTGATGCAAACACCCCGGCTTTCCATTATGGCACGCACTACTCATCCGCTATGATTGTCACTTCGTACCTCATCCGACTTCAGCCGTTCGTACAATCATACCTGCTTCTTCAAGGTGGAAACTTCGATCACCCTGATAGACTGTTCTACTCTATTGAGAAGGCCTGGAAATCTGCTTCCAAGGATAACATGACCGATGTCAGAGAGCTGATTCCGGAATTCTTTTACTTGCCTGAATTCTTAACCAACAACAATGGGTACAATTTTGGTGTGAGACAGGGCAACGGCGGTGGTATCGATACCGTCCAGCTGCCTCCCTGGGCTAAAGGAGATCCCAAGATCTTCATTGCTAAGCATCGGGAGGCTCTTGAAAGTCCGCATGTGAGCAAATACCTACACCAATGGATCGACCTGATCTTCGGCTGCAAACAACGAGGAGAGGCTGCCATCGATAGTGTCAACGTGTTCCACCATCTCTCATACCACGGTGCCAAAGACCTCGACAACATCGTCGATCCCATCGAGCGCGTCGCTACCATTGGAATTATACACAACTTCGGCCAGACCCCCCATCAAGTTTTCACCAAGCCTCATCAGGCACGAGAAGACGTTCGCAACAAAACCCGCCGCCTCGACACCTCCGCCGAGGTTCTCACCCGTCTCCCCTTCCCGCTCCTTGAGTCCAATGAGCGCATCTCAAACCTAGTCTACTCTCCCAAAATCGACCGCCTGCTCTGCGCCACCGCCTTCCGCCTCAACCTGTCCCCACACTACGATAAGTTCCTCGAATGGGGCTTCGCGGACAACAGTATTCGCTTCTACTACAACGATTCGCGCAAGTCCGCCGGCCTGTTCGAGAATCTACACATAGGCCAAATCTCAACCTGCATCTTGGCCTCCTCTCAACTGCTGATTACAGCAGGCGAAGACTGCGTCCTCTCTGCGCACACTGTGCAGACTGCTCCGGGAAAATTCGTAGACCTCAGCTACCGCTCCTCGCTCTTCGGCCATAAGACTCCCGTCAACGTCCTCGCTGTTTCGAAATCCTTTTCCGCCCTCTTGTCTGCAAGTTTCGACGGGACTGTGATCTTATGGGACCTTAACCGTCTCGAATTCGTTCGCAAACTCTCGTCACCCCTTACAACCTCCCGGGGACCAGTCGAGTGCGCGAAGATCAACGACGTCACAGGCGACATCTTGCTCTGTCGTGGGCAAAAAGTCACGCTGTTCACATTGAATGGGGAGTTTCTTCTCGAGCAGAATGTGTGCGAAAACCACGACGACTACATCGCCTCCTGCGCGTGGTACGAAGGTACAGGCAACGAGTGGGTGGAGAACGCGCTCTGTTTCACGGGCCATCGGCATGGAGTGGTGAACGTATGGCGCAAGGGCGTCAGCTGGGCTGGGAAGTGGAGGCTGGAGCTGGTCAAGCGGCTGGGGGGCGATGGGGACAGGGGGAGGGGCGAGACGGCCGTGGGGAGTTTGAGCGTGCCCGGTGGGGTCGCAGGGGGTAAGAGGGGAGAGGGCAGTAGAGGACGGACGAGAAGCAGCGTTAGTGGGAACGGGGAGGCGGCTGTCACGTGTGTGAAGCCGATGGCGAGCTGTGTTTATACGGGGGACGAGGAGGGTAGGGTTGTGAGTATTTGGTTTTTCCTTTTTCCTTTTCGCTTATTTTGTTTCTCGTCCCCAAGTTTCCCAACCCCCTTCCTCTGTCTGAAATTTTTTTTTTTTTCCATTTCCTTTTTCTTTTCCTTAATTGAGGAATGATAACTAACGCGGAGAGTCTACAGTATGAATGGGACATTGTCCAGCGCGAGCGCTAGATTGCGACGCTATCTAGCTATCTACCTGCCTACCGTTCGAAGCTGTTTCACCCGATGGTCGCTCAGGGCGTTTTCGTAGAAGGGCCTAGTGGCTTTTTATGGACGGTAGATGGGCCGGGGGGGAGGGGGAGGGGGGAGGGGCGTTGTACATCTCATCCCACGGCTACGGAACGAGTGAATCACCCAAATGAGGGAAATGGGGAAGTAAAGTAGGAAGGGGGGGAAGGGGAGGGGAGAGAGGTGAAAACGTACATAAGCCAAGCAAAGTGAGGAAAGTGAGGAAGCTAGCAGGCTATTAAGCGGGTAAATAGGCACGGGACGCATATGGATGGATTGAGCGCGGATTTTACTTGACTTTACTTGACTTGATGATGGATGGATGGATGAATGAAGCGGGCGAGAGAGCGGGCTAGCGACTGAATGAATGAATGGTAGTTTTTTTTTTTTTTTTTTTTTTTTTTTCTTTTTCTTCTTACGAG